TGAAAAAGAGTCGAATTGAAAGGAAGATAATGAGATATGGACTTTTGGAACGTTTAGAGTTTCTTTTCATTCTAACTCTTCTGGTCCATGTTTTGTTAGCTTCTTCCTTTCTCTTTTTCTATCCTTCCTTCTTTCTTTTTTCCTTCTTTTTCTCTTTCTCTCCTTCTTTTCTTTCTTCTCTCCTTGTTTTTTCCTCACTTCTTTCCTTCTTTCCTTCTTTATCTTTCATTCTTTCTTTCCTTCTTTTCTTTTTGTTTCTTTATCTTTATCTTTCATCCTTTCTTATTCCCTCTTTCCTTTTTGTTTCGTCTCTTCTTTTTTTCTTTCGCTTGTCTTGAATATATGGCGTTTTTTGATTGCTCTTCATCCTTCCTTGAAGAAACTGAATTATTATCATCCAACAGATGGTCCTTTAGTCTTTCTCTCTCTCTCTCTTTCTCTCGCTCTCTTTTTTTTCGTCTCTATGGCTGTGTTTTGTTATTGTTGTTCCGGTAATTGCGGCAAGGATATGGAACGATTTAGGTAATCACTCCTGGACGCCTTTTTCGTACACACACATATACACCTTGAGACGCGAGAAGCGGTCCCCTTTGAGAATTTTTGAGAACGACCCCGACCTATCGACGGTAGGCGTAACGTCAGTTTTACCAGTTTACAGGGCCCACGACCTCGACCTTATACCCGGTAGTAGGCGGACTCACTGTCCAATTCACTTTGAGAGAAAGAAAAAAATTCTTTTTTGATTATCAATTTTTTTCCATTGATTTCTCGTTCTTTTCAATAATAAGCTGAAAAAAAATTATTTTCGTCAAATTCAACCTATTTACTTGTCTATTATCGAATGAATATTTACTTGAACCAAATAATTTTTTCCAAAATCAAATGAATTGAATTTTAACTTTAAATTGTATTCAAAAGTTTAACTTTCAGTATTTGAAGCACTTTTTTTATTTTTCTTTTGATATTTATCTTGTTGACATTTAATCGTTTATTTGAATTAAATAAATTTTTTCCCAATGCAATTTTCTGATTTTTAGTTTACAACAATCAATAATTATTTACGTACCTTTAAATCGAAAACTTAATTAGAAAACTGCTGACGAGGAATTTAATAAACCTAGAAAAAAGTACAGTAATTATTTTATTTTGATGAGGCCATTGTTAGTGTTTTTTTCCTCAATTTATTTCTAACCACAATTAGCGCATTATTCTTATTATGATTGTTTTAATTTCACTTAAGAAGTTAAGACTGATTCAATTTTAGAAAGTTTCATTAAATAGGTTCGTTCACTTTTAGATTTTCATTAGAAAATATAGATTTATTTCGCTATTAATTATTTTTTTAACTATTTATATCTGTTATTTATTAATATTAATTTATTAAATTCGTCTTATATTTTGTTTTATTTTTTTTAATAGTAAGAATACTATTTTAGCTTCGAGATTATAATTTAATTTCTCTTTATTCCTGTTATTTGTTTTTCTAATTTTTTATTTTTGTTGCGCGAAAGACAATAATAAATAGAAAATCAAAGAAACAAAATGAAAAAAACTGGAAGAAAATAAACAAAATTATAAATTACGCAAAAGGGGGAAAAAATTATAAATTTTGTAAATCTTAATGTTTCCTCTTCAGTTGTATATTTGTCATGATCATGAGTCAGATGTACCATGATTTAAAAAAATTTATCCCCGTTAGTAAATTCAAATTTAAATTTTCAATCAATTTTATTTATAGAAAAGATACTATAATTTTAGTATTATAATTAATTCTTATTTTGAATTTTCTTCAAAAAATTTTTGTTTCTTTCAACGGAAAGAAAAGTTTTCATCAGATTAAATTGAAGATCAACTATAATTATACATTTTTTTTTTTTTTGAGAAGAAAATAATAAAACTATATTTAAAAATATTTCTGAGAAATTAAGCATGAAGGAATTTCCTGTGAATATGAATTACTTATTTATAACAGATTCTTGAGTATCGAAAAAGTTTGCTTTTAAGACAATCTTTCTCTCTTTCTCGCTCTCTAAAAGTGATTATGTTGTCCCTTTCCGTGAACTGCAAAAATTTCTTCATAAGCTATACACAAGCCTCATTTCAAAGCAGGAAATATAAATCTTTTTCAAATAACTGGAATCGATTTCCATACTATTTGAAAACATTATAATTTTCTATTTTGTTTAATAATTTCCAATTAATTTCAAATTTTTACTAATTTCTTTCGATAAACTGACGATTTTTTCTTCACCAGTGAAGATAATTCACTGAAAAAGATAATTTATTAGAGAAAATAATTCACAACTTTCGAAACTTGAATTTGTAAAAATGTTTACTAATTTGAATCAGTGGCTGACTTTTTGCTTTTGAATTAATAAATTTTACTAATAAATTAGTAGAAATTACTATTTATTATTTAAATTTACTAATTCAAAAGCAAAAAATTAGTAAGTATTTTTACTAATTTAAATTTTAAGAATAGTGAAGATAATTCACTACTGAAGATATTTCACTAGTGAAGATAATTCACTGGTGAAGATAATTGACTACTGAAGATAATTCACCATAAGAAACTGTAACTAATTAATTTTAATTACTAAACATTTTTACTAAATCAAATTTAGAGAATAGTGGACATAATTCACTACTGAAGATAATGAAGTAAAAAGTACCAAAAATGTGATCAAATAAAAGAAGAAACAGAAAAAATCAAAATTAATTTTTTTCCTATTTTTAAGCATTAATTAAATTCAAAAATCCAAATAAAGAAGAATTTATTCAGAATTGAAGAAAAATCTCTTCTTCCACGCAGAGAGAATAAAAAAAAACTCTCATTTCGAAATTACCTCGGCGACAATATTCAAGGAAGGGGATTCACAGAAATTGTGTGTTTGCCCTTGAGAATCGAGTTTTGTCATCCGCTTGCATCGAAAGCGACAGTCGACCGGATGGTGTTGCTCGACACGAATTACCAATGAACGTATATTATACTTTCCACAAGATTAGTTCGCCGATAGTTTCATCGCTCAAATGCCGAAATGCCAATTTCACAACAAATCTCACGCACCTATTGAGTATGATGATGATGATTATGATGATTTCCACTTGTCTCATCTCGACACATTCTCATCTTTCATCAGAATTTTTTTAGCTGAACACAAATTATTTGCAAAAAAAATTTTTTTGCTATAATAATTTAGAATTAAATATTAAAATTAATTTTTAGAATTATTAATTATTAGAACTACTTATTGAAAAAGAGAAAAAAAAAATTTTTTACCTGGGACAACGATAATTTTTTTTTTCAAGAATAGCGAAAGTATTAATTGATGCAAGTAAATATTTCGCTAATGTAGTGAAATTTGTAACTGTTTTAGATAAAAAATTTTTCTCCCTTTAAATATAATTTATAATAAATTAGTAAATAAATGTAAAATTATAATAAATTGTAAAATTTTGTATATCATTATAATAAATTGTAAATTTTATGTAATTATAATTTTTAATTAGGTTTCTATCAACGAAAACGTTTTCATTTACAAAAAAATATTTTTTTAATTACATATTTTATAACATTCATTGTTCAAGAAGATATTTTTACATTTCTTATTGTTTCCCTTTCTCACTAATTGTGCAAGAGTGTTAAACTCATTTCCTTCTGTGTCAGCAAACTAGAGTACACGATTTTGTTATTTGTTTAATTTTTTTTTTCTTATTTTTTTTATTTATTTTCTTTTTCCTTATATACATTTGGAACCTTTTTTATTTATACATTTGGAACTTTATTTTAATTTAAAAAATTAAAATTATTGTTTTTCTGCGGATATCAAAATTGAGACAAAAAACGAAGTGTTGCGAAGCAATATTTTGATTCGTTTTTTGTCTCAATTTTGATATCATTAAGGAAACAAAAAAAAATTTCTAAACGAATAACAAAATGTGTCATTTTGTTTTTAGTCAAAACAGAAATTCTAATTGTTAATGTGACTTTCAGAGAAATTGATCATTTGTTTTATTTTTTATTTCTTCTTCTTTCTTTTTTGATAATTTTATTTTAATGACGCATATTCAGTGGTGATCGTTCACCGCTCAATTCCAACAACCGTTTATCCTTCCGCATCGTTTCAACAGTTTGTGTGACTCATTTCCAATTAATCTTTTCCACATTACTCACACAAAATTTCAATTCACAACCGATTATGATGCATTTTAAGTAATACCGATTATTATCGATATGGAGTCAATTATCGCCTTTGGGTTTTTATTGTTGGTCAATAAACTCGAATTTAAATATTAAATATTAAAATTTAATTCATAGAGTGTAAAAAATTAATTTTAATTAACTTCTTCCATTCTATATTTTTGTTTTATTAACAAAAAAGGAAAAGAGAAAAAAATTAATTTCCTCACTTCTTTCACCTTTGATAAAGTTAAATAATAAATAATAATAAAATAAAGTAAAAATAAAATACAAATGAAATTTTCTTTTACTTTTCTTACTCCTAATTTTTGTACCTTACATATTTAGTAATTTATTTGTAACGCGCACTGAAGAAAGGTACTGAAGAAAGGTACAAAAATTTGAAGGTTATGTTGGTATTTTTTACTTTTGTGTCTACTATTTTTTGTAATTTATTTGTGGCGTACATTGAAGAAAGGTGCTTAAAAAAATTAAGGAAAAGAGAAAAAAATTAATTTGTTAAGTTCTTCCACCTTTGATAAAGTTAAATAATAATAAACTGAAGTAAAAATAAAATAAAAATTAAGTACAAAAGAAATAAAAATGAAATAAAAATAAAAAAACAAATGAAGAATAAATGAAATAAAAGTGATGAAGAAATAAAGAAGAAGTGAAATAAAAATGAAATAAAAACAAGAAAAATAAAGGAAAAATGAAAAAAAATTATTAAAAGAAAATTTGGGTTAATTGTAGGTTATAAACTACGTGTAATGATATTTTATGAAGTAATTATTTAAAAGTGAATTAAATTTGATTACAGATACAAGTACAAGTACAACGGATTGGTCATACACGGCAACCGCACCATCTTATCCAGCGCCACCAGGAAGTGGTGGTTCCTATTCACCAATTCCAGGTGGGGCATTTTCATACCCTGGGGAGTCACTTGCCCATCACCCCACCACAGAACCAGTACCTTTACCCTCTGGTAAGTTCAAAATTAGACTCGCCAAAAATTAACTCCAATTTATATAGAATATAATTCAGATAATTAATTTCATTTTTATTTTTTTTCCCCAGCTATTTTTGGTGTTTAAAATAAATTTTTGTTTCATTTTTTGTTTAAAAATAAATTTTCGTACAACTATTTGTTTAAAAATAAATTTTTGTTCCATTTTTCCATTTTGCTAATTTATTTAAAAATATTTTTATGTTAAAAAATAAATATTTATTGCAAAATTTATTAAATCGTAAACTATCTTTGCTTTGCTTATTTTTACTAAACGTGTATAAATAATATTTCCCACGAATGGTGATATTAATGATTCATATATACAAGAAAAAGTTTCAATCGATTTTCGAGGAAATTAATATTAATTAATAATATGGATAACATTATTTCATATTTTATTACATTAATCGAGATTTAACAACAGTAAACAAAATAATAAAACAAAGATTTCAACGGTAAATGACGCAGTGGATAAATTCAGAATCGGAATGATTAACAATTATCAATTTTGTCATTAATACTGTAGAATTTTTCTTATATTATTCAAATATTGTCCAATTTTTACACTATTCGTTGTTTAAATTAAATTTTTAAACTATTTTGCTTTATAAACAATAAAAATAGTCCATTTTCTTCTTCTTCTTTTTTCTCTCCTCTTTCTTCACCCTTTTTCTTCACAACCAAAAAAATTCTTCGGGTTTCCACTCTATGTTCCGTCGGCAAGGTAGAAAATTGCAAACGGCGCGAAATTTGAAATACGATTTGATAATATGCTTTAAATTCCACTAACTTTAAAAGTAAGAAAAGCGTTTAGTAAGTAAAAAATATAGTTAGCATAAAGTAGTAAGCAAAAAGATGATAAAGCAAAAGTAAAAATATAATTTTAGTAATATTTAGTAAGTAAAAAATATAGTTAACAAAAATTTAAGAAAAAAAATTGTTTAATAAGCGAAAAAAAAAATTATCTACTTGCAGTTCTTCCATCAGATGGTCAGCAGGACGCGTACACTCCAAACTGCGTGACCATGTACCCTAGTCATGGAGCATCAACGACCTCAATACCACTCGTTCCGGGGAAGCCCAGTGAACCGGAAATTTTCACAAGTGGAGGCGCTGGTGGTACGAGTCCCGGCTATCACTACGGCACATGGACCGCTGGACCAACGACTCCCGTTCCAGTACCGTCTCACAATTACAATCCAAATTATCAAGGCTACTACAATAATCCCTCACAAAATTACATTAACTCAACGCCAATGGTTCTTTATCCCCAACTCTACAGTACAGTAAATCAAAATCAAATTCATCTTCATCTACATGGGGACCTCAATGAGGATCAAGTCACAATTGCCAGCGGTAGTCTTACCATTAATAGTAATCGAGTTGAAATTGGCGTCATGGGTGAAGAAAACGAACAGCGAAACGATGTCTGGCGACCTTATTGAAAAATTTCGACTTACAAAAATGAACATTTTGTAAAAACTCTCCGAAGAATTAGCTTTTCTCTAAAAGATGCATAAAACTTTTAAAAAGTTGTTTTAAAAGAAAAAGTTTGCTTTTAAAACTGAAAACTTTTAGTGAAGTGATAAGAGAGGATCCTTTTAGGAAAGAGAAAAGAAAACTTTTAGTGAACCAGTGATAAGAGAAAATAATTAGTGTGTGATATTAAATTTTGTAAATTACAATTTTAAGAAAAAAAAATCCCCTTTGAGATTTTCGTTTACTCGAGCAGAATTCTGTGGGGGATTTAAGTAAAAAAATCAAATGGACAAAAAATAGTGTGCTAAAGTGAAGAAAAAAAAATGCTTTGTAGATGGGATTTGTAAAGAAACAATTTTTAATCTCATCGGTAAAAATCTTTTTGCAAGAGGAAACGATATATATTGTTGTAAATATGAATAGATATTTTCCATGAAATAAAAATCTTGCCGAATTCGTTAAATACAGTTTCGTATCAAACATCTTGTAGTTGAGACCTTTTCTTCTTTTTGATTTTTTGTTTTCTCCTCTTTCTTTTCTATTTTTTGTTTCCTTCGTTTCTTTTTCAATTTTTTTAATCACTTTTGTTTTCTACTTTTTTTCTTGTTTTTGTTTTCTATTTTTTCTGGTTTTTGTATTCTACTTTTGTTGTTTAGGATAACCGTTTTTTATTTTTTATTTCTACTTTTGTTTTTTATTTTTGTTTCTTAGATTTTTAGTAATTTATTTGTGAAGCGCACTGAAGAAAGGTGCATAAGAAGCAAAAAATTTTTAGGTTATGTTTATTTTTCCTATTTTTGTTTTTTTAAATTTTTTGTAATTTATTTGTGACGCCTAGTGAAGAAAGGTATCCAAGAAACAAAAAATTTGAAGGTTATGTTTGTGTTTTCTACTTTTGTTTCTCCTAATTTTTGTATCTTACAATTTTAGTAATTTATTTGTAACGTACACTGAAGAAAGGTGCTTAAAAAGCAAAAAATTTGAAGGTTATGCTCATTTTTTCTACTACCTTTTGTTTTTTACATTTATTTAGAATTTATTTGAGACGAGCACTGAAGAAAGGTGCCTAAGAAGCGAAAAATAGGAAGGTTATGTTTGTTTTTTTATCTAAAATAATTATTTTATCACCCGGTCGTCTTTAATTATTAAAAAATATGAAGAAAACTATCATTTTGAGTCTTTGACTCGGATCTTATCTACATTTTTTATAATAATTGTTTTTTCTACTTTTTTTTTCTAGTAATTTTTGTTTCTTAAGTCTTCAGTAACTTATTTGTAACACGCCCTGAAGAAAGGTGCTTAAAAAGCAAAAAATTGAAGGTTATGTTCATATCTTCTACTCCTTTTTGTTTTTTTTACATTCTTTGGAATTTATTTGTAACGGGCACTGAAGAAAGGTGCCTAAAAAGCAAAAAATTTGAAGGTTATGTTCATATCTTCTACTCCTTTTTGTTTTTTTTACATTTTTTGTAATTTATTTGTAACGGACACTGAAGAAAGGTGTTTAAAAAGCGAAAAATTGGAAGGTTACGTTTTTTTTCTTATAAAATACTATTTTTTGTTTTCTGTGTGTTTTTAACACCCACTGAAGAAAGGTGCCGAAGAAAGGTACAAAAAATTGATGGTTATGTTCATATTTTCTACTCTTTTCTGTTTTTTAAAATTATTTTTTGTAAATTATTTTTAACAGGCAGTGAAGAAAGGTGCCTTAAGAAGCAAAAAATTTGAAGGTTATGTTTACGTTTTTAACTTCTTTTTGTTTTTTTACATTTTTTGTAATTTATTTGTAACGAGCACTGAAGAAAGGTGCCAAAAAAGCAAAAATTTGAAGGTTACGTTTGTTTTTCTTATAAAATCCTATTATTTGTTTTTTATGTGTTTTTAACACCCACTGAAGAAAGGTACTAAAGAAAGGTACAAAAAATTGAAGGTTATGTTCATATTTTCTTCTCCTTTTTGTTTTCTTTTACATTTTTTGTAATTTATTGGTAACGAGCACTGAAGAAAGGTGCCAAAAAAGCAAAAATTTGAAGGTTACGTTTGTTTTTCTTATAAAATCCTATTTTTTGTTTTTTACGTGTTTGTAACGCTAACTACAGAAAGGTACAAAAAATTGAAGGTTATGTTCATATCTTCTACTCCTTTTTGTTATTTATTTGTGACGGACACTGAAGAAAGTTGCTTAAAAAGAAAAAAATTGGAAGGTTACGTTTGTTTTTCTTATAATATCCTTTTTTTGTTTTCTGCGTGTTTTCAACACCCACTGAAGAAAGGTATGTTTCTTCAATTTTTATTAATTATTTTTTATCGTAATAAATTTATTTTATTATTAAATTTTAGAGCAGTTTATAATAAGAGTTGATCCTTTTTACGTATTTTGATTAGAAAAATAACAAACATAACCTAAAATTTCGATACCTTTCTTCAACGCTTAAAAAGAAGTTTATTAACTTTATAGTGTCTCTGCTAAACTTTGTGAATTTAGAAAAGTATAAAACTTTACAAAAAAAGTAAGAAATATTTTCGATAAATTGAAAATTAAAGATTTAGAATTATAATGAACCTATTGATTTATGACAAAGGAGATGAACGAGTGTAACAAACAAGATTGGAAGACTTGCGAAGAAAACTGATAAATTGTCATGGTTTTATCTGGGGGCGTTGAGAGGGCATGGATAATCCTTTTTACGAGCGTAGCGAGCTCCATTTAATATTTAAAGGTTGCTGCGAGTGACGAAGCGATGGATAGTTGCGGTCTGGCCAGACCTCCCTTTATTAGCAATCTACCATTTCTACCCCATGGCTCCAGTTCAGTCCTGTAATATACAATCCACCATTTCTCTTGGTGTTCACAGCTAATAACTATATTTTACTTCACTATATATGGAAAATCATCCCTTTCATCCAGTTTGACAAAATACATTCTCCCGTCTTTCGTGCGTCTATATAATTTTTATATTCACCTGAAAAGACATATTTCTTTTTTCCATTGATTTTCGATTCGAAACCATTGAATTCTTTTTCTACTTATTGCTTTACGAACAAAAAGATTTTTCGTAAAAAAAACAAGACAAGACAAGACCAAATCAGTTAACACGTGATAAAAAAAATAACAGTGTAATATTAAAAAAAAAAAAAAAATGATGACCGCAAAAAAAAATTTTACGATCCAAGAATGGAAAAAAAGTTTTGACACACAATGGAAATGATAAATAATTCTAAATCTAATGTTTTGAAGGAAAAAAAAAGAATTTTTTCCGTTTGATTTTGTTTTTACAACCTCAACCCTCAACAGTTCTCTGCCAATGGAACAGGAGAAATAAAGCCATGGAATAAAGGAAAGACGACCGTTGCTCGTAAGCTCCTCTCTTTACGAGACACGGATGACTCGGCTTGCCCAACCGCAGACGCAAACTCAAATCTCTCCTCTTTCCTTTTTTTCCCTCTTCTTCCTCTCTTCTCTCATCAGCCTTCTTTATTTTCTCCTTTTATCATTTTTCATAGAGTGCCATTTTACAACAACAAGAAAAAATTCAAATTAGCAAATTCTTTGAGAGAAAAGAAAATCATCAAAAAACCTGCTTTTCTTCAAAAATATTCAATTCGAATTCCACTTTTAAAAACAATTCTACTTTTCTTAAAAAAATTGTTTTAAAAAAAAAAATACTTTTTTACAAATATTTTTCTGTAATAAAAATTTTTATACTCTCTAGTAAAAACAAAAGTCATTAGAAATCAATCAGTAATTGTTAATTAAGTTCACAACCTTTTGACGAAATATATAAGCAAAAAAAGGTCAAATTACACAAAAAGCTGAATAATTCATATTTAAATTATTCGCGAAAAAAAAGTATGTCACACATGACAAAAAAAAACTTTTTTTTTTCTAAACTTTGCACGATAAGATGAAATTAAATATGAAATTAATATCAAAACCATTCGAGATAGACCTTCATTGAAATACTTAACTTTCCTCTGGTGAATAACAAAGTTACGAGTTGTTGAAACCAAATACTTCATTGCAATTCCCTCGCCTACGAGGGAACCACAGACTACAGTTAAGTGCAAAGAGCATAAATAATCGTCGAAAGCCGTATAAGAGTTGAATAGATCATAAATAATAAACTGATCTTGTCTTTACAGATATATAGAAAAAAAACAAGACCTTCTTATTTAAAAAAAAAAATCTCGACACATTTAATCTTCATCATCAATTTCTACAAATAAAGAAGGAAATAAAAAAAATAGGTCAGATCAAAAACAAAAGACAGAAAACCACTATTCCAAAAAGCAAGACAGCTTGCGTATATTGTCATTTAATGTGGCCATTCATCGCAAAAATACACCTGAATTACTTTACAATATAGCATTCGTTACAATTCTCCATAATTTCACAATTTTTCTCATATATTTATTTTCCTCTTTTCGAAATTCAAGAAAATTCGATAAATTTTTTCTAAAAACTTTTTTTAAAGAAATAAGAGATTATTTCTTTATTTATTTTATGCTTAAAAGTTAAGAAAAATTAGAAGAACCTATAGATATGAACCTCTGGGTTCCTAGGAATCCAGAGGTTCATATCTATGGGTTCTTCTAATGTTTTCTAATTTTTGTAAATAAATTTTTAAAGAAATAAGAGATACTTATTTAATTTACACTTATTTAATACTTAAATGTAAAAAAAATTAGAAGAACCCACAGATATGATCCTCTAGGTTCCTGGGGACCCAGAGAAATTTTTTTAAAAAACTTTTTTAAAGAAATAAAAGATTACTTTCTTTACTTATTTAATATTTAAAAGTAAAAAAATAGAAGAACCCATAGATATGAACCTCTGGGTTCCTGGGAACCCAGAGGTCCAAACTTCTGGATTCTCGGGGACATAGAAACTCAAGAATTATTCTCATTTATTTATCTTATTACTGATCTTATTTTTTTACTAAAAAATTAAAAAACGCATAGACCTGAACCTCTGAGTTCTTGGGATCTAGAGGTCTAAACCTCTGGGTTCCTGTGGACCCAGAGGTCTGAACCTTCAAGATTTTGAGGAACCCCTGGGTTCTTGGGGACCCAGAAATCTGAGCCTCCGGGTTCTTGAAGATATTTTCTGCCCTATTATGACCATTTTGAAAGATATATCTTTACTCAAATAGGAACCCATAGAAAAATTTTTGAAAATTTTACCGAATTTTCTTAAAATTTCTCAATCATTATTTTCTTAGTTATACAAAACAATACATATTCTCTTTAACCTCTTTTGTAGAAACGCACATAAAGGATTTACATTTATGAATATATTTTTTGTTCATTGCTCATTTTCTTTTCTTTCTAAATACATAGATTTATTTTTCAAAGATAATAAATTTTTAAATTTATTCTACACGGCGAATATTTGGAACAATATTTTTGAAAATAAATTCAAAAATCGAGAAGAAAATACTTAATTAATTTAATGAAGATCAATATGAGGATAATTATTATTACTATTATTAATAAAATTATAATTAATTATTATTAATCAATTAATTAATGATTATTTATTTTTATTAGTAATAATAATAATTTTTTTATTAATAATATAAATATGTATAATTTAATTATTGTTACCTAATAATAATATAATTTATTTATTATTTTTTTTAAAGACAAATTCAATTCAGCCCGACGAATAAAAATACTTTATTACAATAACAATGTTTGGTATAAAGCTAAATATATAAAAAATCTATTGCAGCTTGAGATCTATAAAAGATAACGTTTCTTTAAATGAATTCTAACAATATATCTATATTTACAAAAAGTTGTAATAAAAATATCACAACAAATATTTGAAGCAAATAAAATTATTTTACGTATAAAGTAAATTTTTACTTGCCTCAAACAAAAAAATTCTTATTTACTATATAAAAGTAATTTACTTAAATACTTTTAAGTAAAAAGTAAAGTTTTTTTGCTTTTTTCCCTATAAAATAATTTACTATATAAAAGTAATTTATACCACATGTATAAATTGACAATAAAATTACTAGTTTGACAAAAATACTTAATTTAAAGAAATATTTTTTAAAATTTCTTCCCTTTTTTTTGTTTCATAAATAAAAGATGTGAAATTTATTCAAATTTTTTTTCTCTTCCTTTCGTTTCATATGGGAAATATGTAGTTTCGCTTATTTGCTTGCCAAGCCATATATTGTTATGATGCGTTGAAAGACAGCCGATAATCTTTGCTTTAGAGATGGATCAGTTGCGTGTCTCGTCAAGATTCTGACACCGCCTACCAGAACAGGAAGTAACGGCGCCAATCGCTCATCCTGTGAACAAATTGTCCCTTTTTTTTAAAAATTATCTGTGATCCCTAATCTTTGTGCCCCCCACCAAAATGAAAAAAAAAATGTGGAAAATTGGAATTCATTTTTAATAAATAAAAAATTTTTTATCATGAAGAGACTTGTTATCAAAAACGACCTTAAGAGGTCAAAGGAAAATGTGGATTCTTTGTAAATTTTTGTATTTAATTTACCTTTGAGAGTATAAAAGTAATTTTAATTTTTGATATATTTTTTATTTTTTAAAAGTTTTTATTTATAACAATTAAGAGGTAATTTTTAATATTTTATAGTTTTGAGGCTTTAAATCTAATTAAAGAAATCTAATTCCTAAGTTAGAAACTAATTCCTTAGTTCTAAGACCTGTCCTTCTGTTCTTATTTCCTAAATCTTTGTCCTTAGGTTCTTAACTTAAAACTAAGACTTAAAGATTAACCTAAGACCTTAAACCTAGACCTTAGACCTTAGACTTTAGACCTTAGACATTAGACCTTAGACCTTAGACCTTAGACCTTAGATGGACCTTAGAAAATGATTGCTAAAGACTTAGATCTTAGGTTTTAAGAAGGTTAAAACTTTCTTAGAACCTAAGACCTTTAGCAATAATTTTCTAAGATCTATCTCATTAGGTTTATAACTGAGACCTGAGACTTAGATCTCAGGCTTTTAAGTCCTTAGTACCTAAGCTTGTATATAACTTCTAAGACCTAAGATCCTAAATAACTACTGGTTTTTTAAGAACCCTTTGTCTCTAAGACCTAATTCTTAAGTTCCTAATATCTAAGACCTAACGAACAAAAAAACACACTTCCAAAAATTATGAAAACATTTTAAAACATTTAACATTTAAGAAATGAAATACTCACCGACAGAGCCAAAAGCGAATCAATGGTAGCATTTAAAGTTTCAGCCCAGGCCTTTCGATGTGCTTCACTGTCCTTATTAATGACACTCTTCTTCTGAAATTCAAATTCAAAGACCTGACTGAAAATATATTGATTCGCCAGTAGCATCTTCTCGTCCTCATCCTCAAGAAAGGGATTCGTTCTAAATCCCCTCTTGCTTCTTTTATAATCCTCCAACAATGCCTCAACATTATCAGAAGCATTCGATTCGATAACATTTCCCCTCGTTGAATTCAAATTCAATCCATTCTCCAATGAAGATCTTTGTAAATCACAATTTCGAAGTTCCATTGCCGATTTTGAAATTCTTTCACAATTCTCTTGATCAGAACAGACAGGGTTCAAAAAATTTAAATTGTTACTTCTCTTAATACAAATGTCACTCTTTCTTCTCTGGAGATTTTTTCTAGGCGATCTTTCTGAATCGATAAGTTCATTTCTTTCTTTGTTCCACTTTCTCTTCTCGACAGTACTTTTGGATCTTATCGTCAATTTACTGGCAAGTTGATCCTCACTGGAACAACTCTTCAATGGTTCGGGTGTAAATGAATTTTTCGAATCAATGCAACCTTCGCTTGACGTGCAACCCGAACGATCGGGATAGACAATTCTGTCATTGATCGAACCTAATCGTGAAGCAGGTCTTGAATCATCGGTTTCGGGTTCGGATTCAGGTCCCGAATCGGTGGAATATTCAACAGCAAGATCCGAGAGTCTAAAGGGTCTCTCGTCCTTCTCTTTTTCTATTTTCAATCCCAATTCCTCCAATTCTTCCTCAACATTAGGATTATAGACGTCCTCCTCATGATCCTCGTCATCAGTTGTAAATCCCATGTTTTCCTCAATTCCATCTTCTTGTGGTGGTTCATCTTTAATTTCAGCAAACTCCTCAGGCTGGGCAACGAGAAGAAATACCTTCCTTTCGGAAAATCCATCAATCCTGGTGTACCTACCATCCTTGTCCATTACAATCTCCGAATAAGTCTCGCACAATTCATCAAAAGCTGCTTTCAAATATCTCAAATATTTGACAAGATCCAAATACTTTTCCTGACTCTTTGATTCAGTTCGCATCAATATTTTCACCTTCTCCAGATCGACATCCGTTCGTTCAATTTCTCGAAGGGATAATTCCAGCAGTGTCATAATCTTGATCATCCATGAGGCTGCAGCTTGCCGATAAAGATTAGCAGGCTTCTCTAAATTTGCCACTTTTTGCACTAGAAATTTGAGACTCGGTCGTGCGTCAAATTTTAAGGCTGCCGAGTAAGAAAGATCTAAAGCAGCGAGAAAAGTATCAATGTGGTTGGGTCTCAAATTCAACAGGTTCCCCGATGTTGACAATTTTGATGATGATGATGTTATTGTTGGACTTAGGATCACATGAGAGATACTGGAAAAAGTTTTAAAAAATTTAATTCATATTATCCAAAAAAAGCATTATTTTCCTTACAGTACCATCGGGAATTTAGACCATTTTTTCTGAATAGAAAACAATTTAATTTTTAGATCTGAGATCTGATCTGAATTCAACGTTAGATCTTAAATCATATCTACATTAAATATAATTCTTAAAACTGATATAAATTAGACCTAAGTTCTCCATTAAGATTTAAATCAGACCTAAGTTCTTAAATCTAGTCTAATCTAGATCTAAGTTATTAGGTCTGATGTAAATTCGATTTTAGATCTTAGATTGGACACAAATTAAATGTAAGTTCTTAGGTCTGATATAAATTCAACGATAGATCTTAAACCATATCTACATTAAATATAAGTTCCTAGATCTGATATAAATTCGACCTAAGTTCTTCATTACGATCTAAATCAAACCTAAGTTCTTAAATCTGGTCTAATCTAGATCTAAGTTATTAGGTCTGATCTAAATTAGACTTTAGATCTTAAATTAGACACAAATTAAATGTAAGTTCTTAGGTCTGAACTAAATTGGACGTAAGATCTTAAATCAGATCTAAACTAAATAAGACCGAAGTTTTTAGATCTGCTGTACAACAGGCCATGAAACCATCAAAAATATTCTAAATTAGATCTAAGTTCTAAGCCCTAGGATCTAAGTTCAAAGACTCGTAAGTTTTGTCTAAAGTTTTGACTAAAGGTCAAGTTCTAAGTTCTTCATTAAGATCTAAATCAGACCTAAGTTCTAAAATTTGGTGTAATTTAGATTTAAATTGTTAGGTCTGATCTATATTCGACTTTAGATCTTAAATTGGACACAAATTGAATGTAAGTTCTTAGTTCTGATCTAAATTCTACCTTAGATCTTAAATTGGACACAAATTAAATGTGAGTTCTTGGGTCTGATCTAATTTAGACCTGCACTCTAAATCTAAACTAAATAAGACCGTAGTTTCTAGATCTGCTGTACAACAGGCCATGTAACTAACAAAAAATTCTTAATTAGATCTAAGTTCTAAGCCCTAGGATCTAAGTTCAAAGACACGTAAGTTTTGTCTAAAGTTTTGACTAAAGGTCAAGTTTCTAAAACTGAACTTTTAGATGTCGGACTTAAACATAAAATTTCTACGACCTAAAAACAAAGTTCTAAAATCTGAGTTCTATGATCTAAGTTCTTTGACATAAGATCTAAATTTCAATCCCTAAGATCTAAGTTATAGGATCTTGAATTGTTTTCCAATTTGCAGATAAAAATTAGTTTTAGAATTAGAAAATGAAGAAAATTCCCGAGGTTTTTTTGAAAATAAAAAATAAAATTCACCTTGGCATGAGGGGACCATAGCCTTGAAGAAGGACACTTGCAATGCAATGAAGAAGCATTTGGTGAACCACAAGTCCAACAACTAAAGCTCTCAAGTGAACTCTTATTATATACAAATCAGGATTAAGAGTTGTCTCAACGGATTGAGGATACAATAGGAAGACATAAGATCTGCCATCGGAAGACCTTAAAGTATCATCTGCTCGTTGTTCCTCTAAAAGGAATACCTAAGGCACAATATCAAAAGAAAAATGTTCTCATCAGAAGCAAAAAAATATTCCCATCAAAGCAAAAAGTGATTTTCCAATCTAATCCATTCAGTCATAATTTAAATTTTCTCTCTTTCTATTTACATATTTTATTTTACTCTTTATTTTTCCAAGAATTAAATTGATTTATTAGAATTAGAATTATAATTAAAATTAGAATTAGAATTATAATTAAAATTACAATTAAAATTACAATTTAATTTAGGATTAGAATTACTCAATTATTCATTAATTAATGAATGGAGAATTTTAGAAAATCACATTTAGATATTAGGTAAATATACTATTAATATTATCACTAATTTTTAAATTCAATTAAAATTAATCTAGTTTTCTAATTTCTATGTTAGTGTTTTAAGTATAAAAGAGGGCAAACGAGAGTATCAAAAATATGTGATGACTATTGTCAATTATAAAGTAAATGTGATATTATTTTTTTTCAAAAATCGTTTTATATCTGAATTGAGAAAAAAAAATACGTGTGCGCACTACTTAAGCTGCATTTCTTCTATATATGAAAAGTGTCGTATTTTAATAAAAATATACAGTAAAAATCATTACATATATTGTGAGAGAGTGATATTTATTCTAGCCATGGTCTCAAGCCATGGATTTTAATGGTGATTCACAAGATCGTGCCACTCAAAAAACGCAATGATTTCTATTTATCACTCTCGACAGGGTCCTTCAATTTATTTTTGAAAATTAAACCTTTAATTAAAATTACTTTGAGATTTAAGAAATTTTAATGGTATACTTAATAAATATGTAAACATCGCAAACAATTAAATATTAAATATACGTATTATTTTTAGAAACTAAAAAAGTTTTTTTATTACATTTAGGAGTGACTTTATTGAACCTAAAAAGTTTTAGATCAATATATTTTTTAGAGACCAGAAAAAAAATTCTAGAATAAAGCTAATTTATAATTTCGAAAAGTGTTTATTATTAAATGTTTTTTATATTAAATTTCTTATTAATTCTTTTTAAATAAAAATTTTTTTATTCTTCTTTCTTTATTGTTCTTTTTTTATTGAATTTTAACAAAATTTTGAAATAAAAAATATAGGTAAACTTAAGAATAATATTTGAAATAATTGAGAAGGACCCAGTCAATATGAGATCCTGTTAATGGACCTCGAGTGCCTTTCTACCAGCGAGTGCATTCAAGTGTTTTTAATGCGATTAAAAAATTTGCATTTATCGAAATATTATCGGCAGGCCTTTTCCACCATAGAAAATTAGAAATAATAATTAAAATAAAAACTAATAACACTTTTTTTCCACAAGGCACTCAATTTCTAAATTTATTTTCTAAATTTATTTTCTATGGTTAATTTGATCTCTAATTTAATTTCTAATCAGCACTAAAAATTATTCGAATTTTTTCAAAAGAAGCATTTTTTTATTGCACAATGTTCTGAATAGAAGCAAAAAAAAATCGAAAATTTCCACAATGCCAAAAGGTCTTGGCCTACCGACATTTAGATTCGATGACTCTGATATTTGATTTCATTTTAAATCTGAAGACTACAATTTTTAGAAATTTTTTTTTTCAGAAATTGGGGAGGGATTTTTTTGGATTAAAACCGAAGGGTGGTCGAAAATTTTTAAAATCCATGACGTGAGTTACCGTGGACGACTAGAGCCAATGGGGGCCCGTGTTCGACGTAGTGTTAGTGTAATCGGGGGGTGTCGTGTGCTGCCTACAACCGACGGGATAGGAAGTAGTGTGCTGATCAATCAGTGTCGTCTCAATGGTCATCGTGTCCTGGAAAGGTGTCGTAAGCAGTGATGCCGCACTCTGCCTCTTGATGGCAGTCAATATCTCTCGCAGCTGGCTTACCTGGGAGCAAGTCACGTCAGGAGGGAAGCACATTTGCCCATTCCACTTTTTTTCATTTTTCAACTCAATTTTTTAAGCTACAGATGAAACTTTTCTAAATTGCAGTTTTATTTTATTATTTATTTATTATTTTCATCTTTTTATTTCTATATTTGTATTTCTTTACATTTTTTTTCTATTTTTAGAATTTAAGTTAACCTGGGGTTTAACATCACCTAGGTTCTCAGTTCTAAGGTCTAGGACCTTATAGACCTGAGAACAGACCTAGAACAGAAGTTGTAGGTGTGTTCTCAGGTCTTAGTTCTAAGTTCTGCTATGGGACCCAAGATCTCAGTTCCAACAGACTAGGTCTAAGTTCTTAGTTCTAAACCCAAGGTTCTGTTATTTGATCTTAGTTATGAAAACCTGGGTTCTGTTATACCTAAGATCTTAGGCCTGAGAAAAAAAACTAAGGAAACCTAAGAAGAAAACCGAAGACTGGATTTTTCTGTAGGCTCTAACTTCCCAGCAAGGCCTAAGTTCTAAGGACCTAAGACCTTAGTTCCAACAACCTAGGTTCTGTTATAGACTCTAAGTTCTTTGTTTTAGGCCCTAAGTTCTATTATAGAACCTAAGTTCTAAGTTCCAAAACCCTGGTTGTTATGGAACCCAAGTTTCCAGTCCTAAGATGTAAGTTCTGCTGTAGGACCTAAGGTCTAATTTCTAAGAACTTAGCTTCAATTGCTGGACCCGAACCAGATTTTCACTTAACAAGTTAGGTTCTAAGATGTCAATTCTTAGACCTGAGGTCTAATTCCTGAGAACTTAGTTCCAATTGCAGGACCCATTCCAGATTATCATTCAACAAGTTCTCAGTTCTAAAATCTAAGTTCTTAGACCTAAGGTCTAAAAATCTTAAAGTAAAAAATAAGTGAAATTTTTTGCAATAGAATAGAGCAAAGAACGTGCTTCCCGCTTGAAATTAATCGAAGGAAAGCCTAACTTGAAAAGAATGCGTATGTATGTATAGATAGCAAGGATCTTAGCAGAAGTTACCTATTTTAGCAGAATCTCAGTAGTATAAGAAACTGGCGTTGAGTTAAGTTTACTGCGACTTTTTTAATATCCATTGTTATATACTTGATTCCTTTTTTTCAAAATTTAGAAAATAGGCCTAATTTGAAAATAATGAGAAAATTATTTAGATACAGACCTGTGAGGCAAGTTGTCGTAAACGTTCTGATTCCTCAGCCGAAACATCACGACGAGCCGCTACCTTCACTTGGGCAACGTCGCCATAAAATGATTCTGAACGCGGTGAAAATGCCATTGTCAATTGATGCAATTCCTGAAGTGAGTGTGAGCACGCTCTGTAACAAGCCACACCGCAAACTTCCCATTGTTCCGGTGTTAAATTTGGACCACTGCTCACCAACATGTGTCTGGTAATTTTTAAAAAAAGTGTTATTAAGTGTTATTAAAAAGTGTTATAATCAAAAAGAATACTATTTCTATTGCAATAAATTGGTGGCAGCGGTGGGATTACTGAGAGTTATTTTCTATTTTGACAAATCGTTCTCATATTAAATGAATTTCGTTTTCAGATTTATAAAAATTGAAGATGTTGCACCATTTATTTGATAAGATAAATGCTTTTAACTTTTCTAAATTCAATTTTTTCTAATAATACAATTTTGTTTAGTATTAAGAAAAATAATAATAATAAAAAAATAATAAAAAGGTCTCTAAGTACATTAGAAATTCGAGCGAAATTCTGTTTTCATATTCGAAATCGATCTGAACCTGTTCCGTTTTTAAGGATAGTAGGTACAGTTTTTTTTTATAAAAATGATTCTCCGTCATCGGGGTTTAGAATTACCGATGGATGCGTGCCATGCATTATAATATGAAGAAAATGCGACGACAGAAATCAAGGTACACAAGTATGAGTGCTACGGAGTTTCGAATATCAGTGGCTACTTTATCCTACCCGACAACCTGTCAAGCTTCGTTATCATCTTACCCAGCGCTCATTCGAACGATACAAATTCTACATTCCTCATATTCTTGCATTTCAAGAAAAAAGTTGATTCAATTTTTTTTCTCTTCAATTTCTATCATCAGAAAATATTAGATCTTCCTCTACTATAGTAAATAGATCAAACATAAAATATCAGAAAATAAATAAAAATACTAGGCTATAGGGTTGCCACAGGTCAGGGAAGTCAGAGGGAATTCAGAGAATAGTCAGGAATTTTTATTAAAAAAAACTGGAAAAAATTTAATTTTTAAAATTTATAAGAAAATTCTGAATTTTGGTGTCATTTTTGTTTGCCTCATAAACTATAAAATTGCCAAGAATTCTAATAATAATAATTAATCATTCTAATCATAAAATTATTACTTAGAAATTATTTAATGAATAATTTTACTTAAAAATTTCAAAATTAATTGGATTTCAAAAGAGTTAAGCTTACAATCTTCGTAAATAGATCAACATTAAAGGATTCAATTAAAAATTTTAAAAAATGTCAATTTTTAATGAATTTAAATAGAAATTTTAAGAAAAACTGATTACAGAAATTCAATTATTTTCAAAAGTGAAAAACTTCTTCGCATAAATTCAAATATGATCAAAACTTTTTTAAAATTCTCGTTAAAATTTTAATTATCTTTATAAATAATAAAATTCAAAAGAATTCAATTGTTTAAAGATTAAACAAAATTTTAATAAAAATTTCACAGGAATTCAAGTTTGCGACATTTTTTTTTAATAAATTTCTTTAAACTAATTCAATTATTTTGGATTTTTTAATTAAGTTTCTCAAAAGAATTCAAGTATATTTAGCGAATTAAAAAAACAGTTCTGAGAACATCAATTATATCGAAAAATTTAAATAAAGTTCTTTTAAAAATTCAAAAATATTTAAAAAAAGGTTGACCAAATTCTTTACAAGATTTAGTTAATAAAACTGCAATTTTAATAAAATCTTCCTAAACAATTCAATTATTTTCAATACAATTCTTCTTGAGAATTCAATTATTTTCACAAATAATATTTTTGTATACTTGTTAATTTTAAATAAAACCTGTTTATCTGCTTTTTTTCTTAAATTTGGGACAAAAACAAACAACTTTTCCTTAAGACATTTTACGTAGCACAAAATTCTAAAAAGTTATGACTTTTTTCCATAAAAGTAGAAAAAATTCAGAATCATTGGCTTTGAAAATTTCAAACTTTGGTATCTTTGTTAATTTTTTTCAAAATCTATTTTTCTGCCTTTCTCCTTAAATTTTTGGCAAAAAGAAACAACTTTTCCTTTATACACTTTTACGTAGCAGAAAATTCCAAAAAGTTATAATTTTTTTTTCATAAAAGTACCAAAAATTAAGAATTATTGTCCTTGAAAATTTCAAACTTTGGTATCATTGTTAATTTTCTTCAAAATCTATTTTTCTGCTTTTCTTCTTAAATTTGGGACAAAAACAAACAACTTTTCCTTTAGACACTTTTACGTAGCACAAAATTCTAAAAAGTTATGACTTTTTTCCTTAAATGTAGAAAAAATTTAGAATTATTGGCTTTGAAAATTTTAAACTGTGGTATCTTCGTTAATTTTTAATAAATTCTATTTTTCTGCTTTTTTCTGAAATTTTTGGCAAAAAGAAACAACTTTTCCTTTAGACACTTTTACGTAGCACAAAATTTAAAAAAGTTATGACTTTTTTTTATAAAAGTACCAAAAATTTTACTTTGAAAATTTCAAACTTTGGTTATTGATGTTTTCGAATAACGAATAATTTAGCTTTTAAAGAAATTTTGCAAATAAATGTAATAGAATATTTTTTTGATTATTATCTAATAATTTTTGGAGTGAATCAGAATATTCTTTATGATCAGGGAAAAAGTCAAAATTTTGTTTGTAAATCAGGGAAAGGTCAGGAAAAAGTTAGGGAAAAATAAAATAAAATTTTTGTTTTTGTAAAGTCAGGAAAAGTTGGAGAAAAAAAAATTAAATTTTTATTATAACAAATGGTATTAACGCACCTGATACAAGCACAACCGAGACGAGCAATACTTTCAGTCGGTTGAACAACACATTCCGCCATCACTAATAATAGTTGTTTTAACATTAGAGTTGTAGCAGGAAGAAAGTCGTCATTTCTTGTCACGTCCGGTCCTGGAATTTTTTACTTTTTTGTAAAACTAGCAACAATTCGCTCTTAATTCTTACTTTTTTTTTACACAAAATTGGCAATTTTTAAATTTCTTTTTAAAAGTATTTAATAAAATTGTTTTTTTTTAATTACTTACCCTGTAGATAGGTAACGAAATCAACAACCAAATCAGTAGTAAGTCCACAGCATTGCTTAAAATTAGGAGCAAAATTATCCCAACCTCTGACTATTTTCGAAGTCTTTCTCAACCAATTTTGCACCATTGGTAGGAGCAAATGATTGACACAATACAATCCAAAAGCTGGTCCCGGAACATTGAGAGTATCTCTCAAAAGATGAAAAAATGTCTCAAGAACATGTGGTTGATATCTTCGTGGACAAATCATTGTAGCACTAGCCAACCCCTCAATCAAAATATACCAAACTCTTAAAATTCCACTCGGTCTATCCAAACTCTGCAGTGTCACAGTCTGACCAGGATCAATTTTCGTCAAAATTTCATAAGACATCTCCGGTATATTCTCACAAATCGAATCAATTTTCTTATCGAATTTCATAATTTCAATATTCGGAATATTTGGATCAACGTATTGTGGAATTGTCGACATTGGTATTCGTTGTGCCGAATGGAATATCGGACACGCTGGCATTCTGTACATTGATGCTAAAATATCACTGCAACTTAAAAGATACTTTAAACTCTCAACGCACAATCGCATTTTTCGTGCTTCCAAAATATCGATATCTTGATCATTATCGAAATTATCATTGTCAGTGGAACCTCTCACGTGTCGCAGCAGGCATAATATACAATCGAGTGCTGCATTCGCGAATACCAGTGTATTGTCAGTTGAGAGAAAAACACGGAATACTTCCAGTAGAGGTGCAGATTCGACACTATCGGAATTGCCCACCGAGGCGATTCTCAATGCTCCGAACAGTGGACGCCATCCTGAACGTATTTCTGTTCGATTTGTCTCAACGAATTCGCAGATACAACTGACGATCTGAAAATTAGAGGAAAATTAAATGGAAGTAAATTAGAAAGGACTTTAAAATAAATACTTTAAAATAAATACTTTAAAATCTCCTAGAACCAAAAAATTTAGAACCTCTGGGTTCTTGGCCTGAAATATTTACCTGATCTTGAACATCACTGTCGCATAATTCCAGACACAGGAGATTTTCAAAGGGTTTAAAGAGAGCTTCATTGAAATGAAAGTGCGCCAATTCGACTTGCTCGTTCAGCAAAGCTGTCATTGAATCGTGAATACACTGAACTGCTTTTTTGGAAATAGTACGATCCTTGTGGCAAGCCGCTTCCATAAAGTGTGGTCCTAAAATACTCCAAACTCTCATCACGTGGATTAGAGGTCTTCCACTCTTAACACATTTCAACATCACTTCTCCCAATCGGCTCAAAAGCAGGACATTCAATTCATCCTCCCTCGGTTTACTCCTCCTCCACCAAACTCGTCTATTCTCCTTGATACCGTCAATATTCTTGAATAACTGATCCTTACTTGCCTTACACAATGCCGTTAGGAAGAAGCAAAGAGCTCGTAAATTCAATTTTAATGCCGCATCTTCGAATAATCTGTCCACTTGTTGTGACAGGACGCAAACAATTTTCGCCGCATAATCCGCTGGCAGGATACCATTAAATTGACTGTCGGCATTTGAGTCTTGTATTATTTCCGGAATTGTGTCTATTCCAATGTTTTGCGTGTATGGACTCGAGAGGAAACTGTAGACATCGACACTGAAATGGAAACAATATTAGAATTTAGAGATTTCAGATTTCTTTCTTCATTCTTTTGTCCTCTTTTTGTTCATACAAAAAAAACCTTTTTTTTAATTCAAATTTTTTTTGTGCCCATTTTTTGCCCTACTATTTTTTGTTCTATTTTCCTTACCAAGTCTCGTCTTCGTCAATATTGAAATTCAGTTTATTCGATTTCGAATTAATGGGACTTTCCTTCTTCTCCTTTTTATGCTGAACCTTAGGCATCGTTGGATTTTGATTCTTTCCAAAGAAATCGTGTTCCAGTTTACTTACATACAGGCAACAACTGAAAAAAATTGGTTTTTTAATTTTTCTTCTTTTTGATAACTTTTTAAAATTTTAAGAATTCTAAAGAAGGAAACTTACGTAAAAACGTGAGGCCAACAGTCACTTCCATGACTGCCTAATTCTAATCCTCTGCCTAAAAGTACCTCCATACTCAAGGCATGCGAAGAATGGAGATTCGTAGCTCGATTCTGTAACTTAAGTCTAAGAACATCTTTGGTTCTCCTCAATTTTGAAATTGACTGTTCAGAACACGCGGCTTTCGCTAAAAGTGCAAAAATCGCTCCACAACGATTTTGCAAACCTGAAAAATCAAAAGACTATTTTCAAAAATTGTTTCTTAATCTTCGTGCCTCCAAGAAACCCAAAGGATGAATATCGAAACTTATTAGCATGAAATTAATACTCTGCGTTTCTTGGAGCGATTTTTGGGGTCTTTGATTACGAAATTTGAATCAGAATTCAAAAATTCAAAATGGCAGACGATTTTCAAAAAGTTCTTAAATTTACCCAAAAATTTCTGCTATTCAGGGTTTTTTGAATCGCTCTTTACGAATCCAAGATCAGTTTGTCAAAATTCAAAATGGCCGATTTAAAATGGCCTACGAGTTTTTCAAAAAGTTCTTAAATTTGCCGAAAATTTGCTATCCTGTGGTGCGTTCACGTAACTTTAACTTTCATTTAAAAATTTCTCACTTTCACATTCATTTAAAAATATTTTCACTTTCAATTTCACACAAAAATTCTCACTGTCACTCAAAACAGTTCCACTTCAAAGTTTAATTTTTTTTTTAAGTGAAAGTGAAAATTACTTGGGTGAAAGTGAACATTATTTGAGTGAAAGTGAAAATTTTTTGAGTAAAAGTAAAATTATTTGAGCCAAAGTAAAAGGGGAAATTTTTTGATAAAAATTGAGAATTTTTTTGGGAAAATAAATTTTTTTAAAAATAAAATCAATATTCTTTTAGTGAAAGTGAGAATTTTTTTGTAATGAAATTAAAAATTTTTGAGTAAAAGTGTAAGTGAAAATTTTTTGAATGAAAGTAAGAATCTTTTAAGGAAACTGAAATTTTTGGAGTGAAATTAGTGACATTTGATTAGTGAAAGTGAAAGTGAAAGTAAGAATTTGTTGACTGCAAGTGAACATTTTTTTGAGTGAAATTAAAATTTTTTTAGTGAAGGTCAATTTTTTTTTAGTAAAAGTGAGAATTTTTTTAATGAACATGAAAATTTGTTGACTGAAAGTGACAATTTGTTAAGTGAAAGTGAAAGTAAGAACTTTTTTTGTGGAAATCAGAATTCTTTTATTAAAGGTGGGAATTTAATGAAAGTGGAAATTTTTTAATTGAAAGTGAAGGTAAGAATTTTTTAAGAAAAATGAAACTTTGTGAGTGAAACTAAACATTTTTTTTCAGTGAAATTACATTTTTTCTAGTTAAGAGCAAAATTTTTTTAGTAAAAGTGAGAATGTTTTTAATTTATTCTAAAAATTTTGATGAGTGAGAGTGAAAGTAAGTATTTTTTGAGTGAAAGTGAACATTATTCGAGTAAAAGTGAGAATTTTTTGAATAAAATTAAAAAAATTTGAGTAAATGTAGAAATGAAAATTTTTTGAATGAAAGTGAAAGTAAGAATCTTTTGGGGAAAGTGAAATTTTTGGAGTGAAATTAATGATAATTTTATTACTGAAAGTGAAAATAAGAATTTGTTGAGTGAAAGTGAAAGTAAGAACTTTTTAAGTGAAAGTCAAAATTCTTTTATTGAAGGTGGGAATTTATTTAATGAAAGTAGAAATTTTTTTAACTGATAGTGAAAATTATTTGGGTGAAAGTGAACATTATTTGAGTGAAAGTGAGAATTTGTTGAGTAAAAAAAAATTATTTTGTCAAAGTGAAAGGGAAAATTTTGTAGGAAATGTGAAATTTTTTTGATCAAAATTGAGAATATTTGAGGGAAAATAAACTTTTTTTGAGTAAAGTCAATATTCTTTAAGTGAAAGTAAGAATTTTTTGAACGAAACTGAATGTAAGAATTTTTTTTTTGAAAATGAAACTTTTTGAGTGAAATTAAAATTTTTCTAGTGAAGAGCAAAATTTTTTTAGTAAAAGTGAGAATGTTACGAATCAAAAGTCAGTTATTAAAAATCCAAAATGGCGGATCCAAAATGGTGGCCAAGTTTTTAAAAAATTGACTAAATTTGCCTAAAATTTGGCAACTTGGAGTCAATGGGATCGCTGATTAGGAGCTTAGTGACAGTATTTAAAAATCCCAAGTCCTGGAACTATAATAGAGGAAAAATACCGAAAAAGTGCTTAGCGTACCCAAAATGTTGCTCAAAATTGCCGCCTTATGAAGACCCTCGAGAGCCAAAATAATTGTATCCTTAACGCATCTACTGCCACCGTCTTTATTCAGAATTCCCTTTCCACTCTCCTCTTTACATGGATTCAATCCAGTGGCCAAAACTGCGACCATACTGTCCCAGCAGCAAGTCAATACACGTCTTGATAATTTGGCACCAGCTTCCGCCTCCGACGTCGGTTCACTTCTTGACAATTGTGCGCGTTCCAATCGTCGAAAATCGGAAAGAAATTGACCGCCTCTTTGACATCCGCTTATTCCATCGACATCTGATTTAAAAAATCAAATAAAAATAAAGGAAATATCAAATAAAAAAGAAAATTCGTGAAAAAATGTGTAATTTGCGATAAATATAGTTTTTACAGATAAAAGTTTTCTATTTACTAACCAATGAGAACATTAACGAGTGCACTGTTCTCTGTCGAATTTGGATTATAACCACTTTTCTCAAGAAGATTACAAGCTAGAATTTGTTGATACAATTCGGAAAGCCAGGTGGCTGATAAATAAACCAATACACCAGATCCATGAACCTCTTCTACGAATTGTTCCTAAAAAAACCCCCCAAAAAAAGGTCAAAATGGTAAAAGCGGTGGGATTTTTGACAAAAGACGCAACAAACCTCGTTTATCGGCACTTGTCTCGCTTCCTCCTCGTAATAATTGAGTCTAATTAGTTTCAAATTAAGAAGTAATGCTGCATAGGTCGCTAAATATATTCCATCAGCGTTCATAATCGTCAGCAAAGAGCACGTATCTTTATTTGAATCACAGTCCTCCTGGAATTTTTGCTGCGAAGCAAATACACCTGGAATAAAAAATATCTTGATTTAATTTTTATTAAAAATTTTTATTAAAAAAATTAATTAATTTTTTTGTTATTAAAAATAATGGATTTATAGAAAAATTTTAGTTAACATTAAGAAAAATTATTTTCACAAATAATACATTTTTTATGGGAATTCAATTATTTAAAAAAAATTTGAAAAAAATTCTTCTCAAAGAATCAATTATTTTCATAAATAATAAAATTTTTCTCGAGAATTCAATTATTTAAAAAAATTTTGATAGAAATGCTTTATAAATTTGAAAAATTATAATAAAATTGATTATAAAATACAATTATTTTCGTAAAATATAAAATTCTTTATAGAAATACAATTATTGTCAGAAATATTTGTAAAAATCTTCGAAACAATTCAATTATTTTCGTAAAAAATAAAATTCTTCGAAGCAATTGAATTATTTAAGAAATTTTAATAAAATTCTTCCCAAGAATTCAATTTTTTTCAAAAATAAACATTTTCACAGGAATTCAATAATTTAAAAAAAAATTTAATAAAATTCTTCGTCAGTTTTCAATTATTTTCAATTATTTTCAATTATATTCATAAAAAATATTATATTCTTTTTTGGAATTCAAATTTTTTTTTTATAAATATTAAAACTTTTTTTAGGAATACAATTATTTTCGTAAAAAATTAAATTCTTTTTAGGAACTCAATTAGTTTCATAGAAAATTAATTTTTTTTAGGAATTCACTTTTCTTCATAAATAATAAAATTCTTTTTAGAAATTCAATTATTTTCACAATTAATCGCAGAATTTTAATTAATTTTGTATACAATTTGAATTAAATTATATAAAATAATAATTGAATTATTCCTTTCAGATTTAATCAAATACTTCAAAAAAATTCAAATATTTACAAAAATTTTAATAAAATTCTTCCCAAGAATTCAATTTTTTTCAAAAATAAACATTTTCACAAGAATTCAATTATTTAAGAAAACATTTAATAAAATTCTATGTCAGATTTTAATTATTTTCAATTTTTGAATGAAACTTCTTTATGGAATTTAATTATTTTCAAAAAGTTTTAAAAAAATATAAACATCTTACTAGAATTCAATTGTTTAAAAAAATCTAATAAAATTCTTCATCAGATTTCAATTATTTTCAATTATTTAACGAAATTTCTCGATAGAATTTAATTCTTTCCAAAAAGTTTTTAAAAAATTTTGAGAAATTTAATTATTTAAAAAAGTTTGTATAAAATTCTTCACAAGAAATTAATTATTTTCGTAAAAAATAATATTTTTCTCCGGAATTCAATTATTTTAACAAATAAAATTCTTCACAGGAATTAAATTCTTTAAAAATTTTTTAATTCAATTTGTTGCAAGAATTAAAATATTTTCATCAATAACAAAAGTTATTGCAAGATTTAAATTATTTTTTATACAATTTTAAATAAAATGATAGAAAATTGTATTTTATTCTTAATTTTTTTTTAAATTTGACAAAAGAATTCAATTATTTTTTTAATTTTTGATAAAATTCTTTTTAAAAATTCAATTATTTAATAAATTATTTATTTTTGTATTTAAATTATTGAATTCTAGTTGAATTTTCTAACAAAAATTTATTTTCATTTTATTAAATGAATTTCAGTTAAAATTTTAGATAATAATTGAATTTTAAAAGCAATATAGCGTGAATTTTTAGAAATAATTGAATTTTGAAATTCATTTTTTTGAAAACGTGCAATTGGACTCTTATTATATTATTTTCAGTTTTTATTTTCTAATATGTATTTAATTGGTGAATTCACGAATAGTTCAAATTTTGTAAAATTGAATATTGTAAATAAATTGATTTTGAAAATTGTCGAAGAACTTTTCCGAAAATTAATTGATTTTAAGAGAAATTTTAGTGAAAATTTCTTAAAAATAATAATTTAACGAGGAATATGACGCTAGTAATTTAATTGAAATTATGAAAATAATTTTGAAGAAGTACAATAATTATATTCTTATAATATGAAATAATGATTTTATCAATTTGCTATTTGTAATAATTATAAAACATGAAGAAATCGATCGCTTAGAGTCGGAGACTCGGAGTCATTGATTTCTTTATGTTTTATAGTTATTAAAAAAATTTTATTTTTTACTTTTAAGTAAAATTTTATCCTTTTTATAAAAATATATAAAAATAATCGCTTATAAATTTATAATTTATAGCTTATTTATAATTTTTTTATAATTTATTTTTATTTATAATTTATAGTTATAAATTAAGCCTCAAAGAGTGTTTGAACCAAAAAAAAAAAAAAATTCCACCTACTGTGACAATATTCAGAGGCGAAATTCTGCAAAGCCTCATCAACCTCAATATTACTCCTCAAACAAAGAATCATTGGAATTAAATCGCCTCTCAATGTTTTAACGAAACGCCTGGCATTGTGACGTTCAACGTCAACGTTACATTCCTCGGCAATTTGCCTCCCAACGTGTAGACATTTTGGCAATTTTTCAAGACGTAAACGTTCGCGTTCATTTTCAAGGGCATAATCAGTGTCATCAATACTTGTGTCCTCGTTGACTTCATCTGATTCGTGAGGACCTTCGGTATCAGTCGAATCGCCATCCTCCGATGGTCCATGTCCTGAGGATTCAGAATCTGAGTATGTGCCCTTCTTCATCAGTTCCAATTGCTCACGATAAGTCTTTGGAAGACGGGACATTGACTGATATGTCAATGGACCACGATAATCACACGATTCAAGATCATCGTAGAGACTATTAATTGTGCAGGTATATTTGTGACTTATTGCCTTTCCTTCGCATAGTTCTTGTAGTGCCGAGAGCATTGCAACAATGCATGCGACGCTGGCGTTGAGGACATTAACACCCGAACTTATTGACTCCTCAATTGAATCCATAACACTGAAAGACAATATTTTTATTAGTAAAAGAATTTATTTTTTAATTATTAAAATAATACTAATACTGACAATAAATAATAATTATTATTGTTTAATTATATAATTATATTATTATTATTACTAAAAATATTATTTTTACTCCTAGATTGGGATAAGTATTCAACTCTTTTGAAAATTTCAAAAGTGGACCCGATATTCAAAACATTGTTTGAATTAATAAAGGTTTTTGAAAAAGTATAAAAATTAAAATTTAAGTAGTAAATATCAATACTTTGTCAGACATTATTATTATTGTTCCCAGATTGAGAGACTTCTTCCAAACTTTTTTGAAAACTGCCAAAGTCGACTTGACGTTCAAGATATTATTTTTTAATTTTAACTAATAAAAAGTATTAAAAATTAAAAATTGTAAGTAGTAGATGTCAATATACTATCAGACAGTATTATTCATATTCTTAATTTGAGAGAGTTCTTACAAAGTATTTTAAAATTTACAAAAGTTGACTTGACGTCTAAGATATTATTTCAATTAATAAAAAAATTAATTAAAAATTAAAAAATATAAGTAGTAAAAGTCAATGTGGTGTCAGACATTATTATTCACATTCTTGAATGGATACAGTACTTTTAAAGTATTATCAAAATTACAAAAGTGGACTCGACGTTCAAAATATTATTTCAATTAAAAAAAAGTATTAAAAAAGTATTAAAAATTTTAAATTGTAAGTAGTAAAAGTCAATGCACTGTCAGACATTATTATTTACATTTTTGGATTCAGACAATTCTTTCAAACTATTTTGAAAATTGTAAAAGTGAACTCGACGTTCAAAATATTCTGTTAATTAATAAAAAATATTAAAAATTGAAAATTGTAAGTAGTATAAGTCAATGTACTGTCAGACATTATTATTTTATATTCTCAGATTCAGACAGTTTTTCCAAAGTATTTTAAAAATTGCAAAAATGAACTCAACGTTTTTTCAATTAACAAAATGTTCATAACAAATATTGAAAATAAAAAGTTTTAAGTAGTCAAAGTCAATATATTGTTAGACATTATTATTTAAACTCCTGTATTGGGAGAGTTGTTCCAAAGTATTTATAAAACTGTAAAAGTGGACTCGACGTTAAAAATATTATTCGAAGTGATAAAAAGTATTAAAAAAGTATTAAAAATTGAAAATTGTAAGTAGTAAAAACAATGTACTGTCAGACATTATTATTCACATTCATGGATTCAGACAGTTCTTCTAAAGTATTTTCAAAATTACAAAAGTGGCCTCAAGTCGGCGTTCAAAATATTATTTCAATTAATAAAAAGTATTAAAAAACTATTAAAAAATGAAAATTCTAAGTAGTATAAGTCAAAGTATTGTCAGACATTATTACCCACATTTTTAAATTGAGTGTATTCTTCCAAAGTATTTTGAAAATTTGCAAAAGAAGTGAACTTGACGTTATTGGAATTAATAAAAGATTTTTAAAAAATATTAAAAATTTATAATTGAATGTCAATATATTGTCAGACATTATTATTCACATTATGGAATTCAGAAAGTTAGTCCTAAGTAATTAAAAATTACAAAAAGTGACTCGACATTTAAAATATTATTTCAACTATACCTATAGAGTCAAAATACTCCATCTGCCAATTAGCAGACAATCGAATTTTCGAGTTTTGCGAAGCTAAGATCTTTAAAAAATTTAATTGTTAGAAGACAATTGATTTTGTTGTTGCCTATTGTTCCTTAAATGTTAATTTACAAGAATTTCAATTAGAGAAATAATTTTGGCAAAATTACTAGTCAAAATACTCCATCCGCCAATTAGCAGACAATCGAATTTTCGAGTTTTGCGAAGCTAAGATCTTTAAAAAATTCAATTGTTAAAAGACAATTGATTTTGTTGTTGCCTATTGTTCCTTAGATGTTTGCTTACAAGAATTTTATAAAACAAAATAATTTTGGCAAAATTACTAGTCAAAATACTCCATCCGCCAATTAGCAGACAATCGAATTTTCGAGTTTTGCGAAGAAATGAGCTTTAAAAAATTCAATTGTTAGAAGACAATTGATTTTGTTGTTGCCTATTGTTCCTTAGATGTTTGTTTACAAGAATTTCATCAAACAAAATAATTTTGGCAAAATTACTAGTCAAAATACTCCATCCGCCAATTAGCAGACAATCGAATTTTCGAGTTTTGCGAAGCTAAGATCTTTAAAAAATTCAATTGTTAAAAGACAATTGATTTTGTTGTTGCCTATTGTTCCTTAGATGTTTGCTTACAAGAATTTTATAAAACAAAATAATTTTGGCAAAATTACTAGTCAAAATACTCCATCCGCCAATTAGCAGACAATCGAATTTTCGAGTTTTGCGAAGAAATGAGCTTTAAAAAATTCAATTGTTAGAAGACAATTGATTTTGTTGTTGCCTATTGTTCCTTAGATGTTTGTTTACAAGAATTTCATCAAACAAAATAATTTTGGCAAAATTACTAGTCAAAATACTCCATCCGCCAATTAGCAGACAATCGAATTTTCGAGTTTTGCGAAGAAATGAGCTATATAAAATTCAATTGTTAAAAGACAATTGATTTTGTTGTTGCCTATTGTTCCTTAGATGTTTGTTTACAAGAATTTCATCAAACAAAATAATTTTGGCAAAATTACTAGTCAAAATACTCCATCCGCCAATGAGCAGACAATCGAATTTTCGAGTTCTGCGAAGAAATGAGCTTTAAAAAATTCAATTGTTAAAAGACAATTGATTTTCTTGTTGCCTATTGTTCCTTAAATGTTAATTTACAAGAATTTCAATTAGAGAAATAATTTTGGCAAAATTACTAATCAAAATACTCCATCCGCCAATTAGCAGACAATCGAATTTTCGAGTTTTGCGAAGAAATGAGCTTTAAAAAATTCAATTGGTAGTAAGCAATTGATTTTGTTGTTGCCTATTGTTCCTTAGATGTTTGTTTACAAGAATTTCATCAAACAAAATAATTTTGGCAAAATTACTAGTCAAAATACTCCATCCGCCAATTAGCAGACAATCGAATTTTCGAGTTTTGCGAAGAAATGAGCTTTATAAAATTCAATTGTTAAAAGACAATTGATTTTGTTGTTGCCTATTGTTCCTTAGATGTTTGTTTACAAGAATTTCATCAAACAAAATAATTTTGGCAAAATTACTAGTCAAAATACTCCATCCGCCAATTAGCAGACAATCGAATTTTCGAGTTTTGCGAAGAAATGAGCTTTATAAAATTCAATTGTTAAAAGACAATTGATTTTGTTGTTGCCTGTTGTTCCTTAAATGTTAATTTACAAGAATTTCAATTAGAGAAATAATTTTGGCAAAATTACTAATCAAAATACTCCATCCGCCAATTAGCAGACAATCGAATTTTCGAGTTTTGCGAAGCTAAGATCTTTAAAAAATTCAATTGTTAAAAGACAATTGATTTTGTTGTTGCCTATTGTTCCTTGAATGTTAATTTACAAGAATTTTATAAAACAAAATAATTTTGGCAAAATTACTAGTCAAAATACTCCATCCGCCAATTAGCAGACAATCGAATTTTCGAGTTTTGCGAAGAAATGAGCTTTATAAAATTCAATTGTTAAAAGACAATTGATTTTGTTGTTGCCTGTTGTTCCTTAAATGTTAATTTACAAGAATTTCAATTAGAGAAATAATTTTGGCAAAATTACTAATCAAAATACTCCATCCGCCAATTAGCAGACAATCGAATTTTCGAGTTTTGCGAAGAAATGAGCTTTAAAAAATTCAATTGTTAAAAGACAATTGATTTTGTTGTTGCCTATTGTTCCTTAGATGTTTGTTTACAAGAATTTTATAAAACAAAATAATTTTGGCAAAATTACTAGTCAAAATACTCCATCCGCCAATTAGCAGACAATCGAATTTTCGAGTTTTGCGAAGAAATGAGCTTTGAAAAATTCAATTGTGAAAAGACTATTGATTTTGTTGTTGCCTATTGTTCCTTAGATATTTGTTTACAAGAATTTTATCAAACAAAATAATTTTGGCAAAATTACTAGTCAAAATACTCCATCCGCCAATTAGCAGACAATCGAATTTTCGAGTTTTGCGAAGAAATGAGCTTTAAAAAATTCAATTGTTAGAAGACAATTGATTTTGTTGTTGCCTATTGTTCCTTAGATGTTTGTTTACAAGAATTTCATCAAACAAAATAATTTTGGCAAAATTACTAGTCAAAATACTCCATCCGCCAATTAGCAGACAATCGAATTTTCGAGTTTTGCGAAGCTAAGATCTTTAAAAAATTCAATTGTTAAAAGACAATTGATTTTGTTGTTGCCTATTGTTCTTTAAATGTTTATTTACAAGAATTTCATTTAGCAAAATAATTTTGGCAAAATTACTATAATAAAAGATACTAAAAAATTATTAAAAATTAAAATTTATAAGTAGTAATAGTCAATGTACTGTCAGACATTATTATTTACATTCTTAGATTTAGACAATTCTTCCCAGGTATTTTGAAAATTACAAAAGTGGACTAAAAAAAAATTATTTTAATTAATAAAAAATAATAAAAAAGTATTAGAAATATAAAAATTGTTAGTAGTAAGAGTCAATGTACTGTCGGACATTATTAATAATATTGCTAGATTGAGACAGTTAATTTGCAAAGTATTTTGAAAATGACAAAATTGAACGCAGGATTGAAAACATTATTTTAATTATAATAAACGATTCAAAAAATTATTTGAAAAAACAAGTAGTAACAATTAATATATGGTCAGACATTGTTATTACCATTCTTATATTGAAACAAATTTTCCAAATTATTTTGAAATTTACAAAACAGATTTCACTTTCAAAATAATGTTTTTATTACCAAATATTAGAAAAATATTAAAAATTTGTAAGTGTAAGTAGTAAAAATCAACGTATAGTCAGACATTATTAATCATATTTTCTAAGGACAGTTTTTAGAAAGTATTTTAAAAATTCCAAAGCTGAAGCCGGCATTCAAAATATTATTTTCATTACCGAACGGTATTAAGAAAGTATAGAAAATTATAAATTTTAAGTAGTAAAAGTCAATAGTTAATAGTCAATAGTCAAACATTTATATAAATATTCGCACATTCAGGCAGTTCTTCGCGAAGTATTTTGAAAACTGCAAGAATTCACACGAGGATCAAAATATTAATTTAAATAATCTAAATATTTTTATAGAATAAAAGGTATTAGATAGTTTCAAACGTGTAAGTAGTAAAAATCGATGTATGGTCAGACATTATTATTAATAATAATATTTGTATATTAAAATAGTTTCTTGAAAGTATTTTGAATATTAAAAAAGTGGACACGCAGGATTTTATTTTAACTAAAAAAAGGTATTAGAAGCTTATAAATTTGGCAAGTAGTAAAAATCAATATTTGGTCAGACATTGTTATTAAATATTGCTGCATTAGGACACGTTCTCCTATGTATTTTTAGAATTACAAAGATGGACACAGTGTTCGAAATATATTAATTAAAAGGTATTAGAAGCTAATAAAATTGTCAAGTAGTAAAAATCAATATATGGGTCAGACATTGTTATTAATATTGCTAGATGAGGACACACTGTAAAAAATTTAGGGAGTTAACGGACTCGGGAGTTGGGAGTGAAATTTTTCGAGTTAAAAATCAACTCCAAAAGAGAGTTAATTTCTAACTCCCTTTATTCAACACCCGCGCGAGTTATTTTTTCCTTGGGTAGTTAGCATTTGGGTATGTGAAATTTTAACTCTCTTTATTTAACTCCCCTGGCATTAACTCTCCAATGGGTGCGACTTTTATAGACCCCCCGGGGGAGTTAAAATTTAACTCCCTTTTTTTACAGTGCAGTTCCTCGAACGTATTTTGGAAATTTCAAAGTTGGACTCGTCACACAAGTTATTATTTTAATTAACAAAAGGTATTAGTATTGTATTAAAATAACAAGTAGTAGAAGTCAATATATGGTCAGACTGTGTTAAAAATATGTTTAATTCAACAATTAGTAGTAAAAATAAATTTTAATAAATTACTGTAGGTAATTTTTGCTTTCTAAGAGAGTACTTCTCGACACAGTAGTAAGTGGCATTTCTAGTCAGACAAATATTCTTTTAAGAAATCAGTGAAGTAGATATAATTACCACCAAAATGAAAAAATTTAAGATTTTTACTCAAGGAACTAAAGTGGTCTCTTTACAAACTAAAAATTTGGGAATTTAGTGTTTTAAGGTCATTTTGCAATAAACGAAGACAAAAATATTAAACTTACAGTCTCATTAAAGCCATATCACTCTGTAGCTGACAAGATTTATCCTCCTCAACCAAAAGTGGTCCAGCAAAATCAACCATTCGACTGGGACTACGAAGAAGTTCCCTAAGAGCTTTTAGAGGTTCCAAACGATGCTGTGGTGGAGGGTAAAGTAACATTCTATGAAATACTGATTCTAAAACAGGTCTAAGTGGACCTACACAACCAACCAGTCGTACCAATTCCGTGCCAATGCTGCAAAAATAATTAACCATTCTTATTATTAATTGTTAATTATTAATTATATGAATTAATTCTAATTATTACACTGTAAAAACAATCTTAAAGTATACTTACAGCCCAAATGGATTTTTTTCTTAAATTCAACTCTTTTTTGGGCTTAAATTAAATTTTATTTAATTTAATTAAAAATTAGACAATTCGATGTCTTAAAATCAGTTCCTAGTCGGAAATTTAGTTAATATTTGGACTAATGAAAGTTGTTCTAGTCAAAGTTGGGCTTAAAACAAGACTTAATTTTTACAGTGTAAATATTGATTACAGTAATTAATTCCATTTCTTAAATATTACTTGGTTATTAATTCTATTTTTTAATTATTAATTATAGTAATTAATTACATTTCTTAATTATCACCTAATAATTAATTCACTTTCTTTAATATTAGTTATAGTAGTTAATTCTAATTATTAAGTTCCGTCTATTTAGCTGAATTTAAAATTTATTTATTTATTTATTTAATTAAATTAATTAGCTTAAATGAATTTGAACCGAACCTATAAACAGTTTTCGCCTGATGACTATCGAAACTCAATGATGTTGTTAAATATCCAGAACCACGGCCGACTTCCGCTTCTTTACCCTCGCGTGATGTAAATGACTTGTCCACTCGTGGCGTTCCAAGAAATGCTATTAAAGCTGGACAAAATTTTTGCCAAAGAAATGTTGTAAAGTGAGAGTTTGTGTGTATTTTTTGAGGGAGCGACGATATCAGAGTGTGAAGACACTCTAAAAGAAAGACCACTGTACTTCCGTTTCGTGTGGTACTGGAACAACATTTCCTTAAAAATTACACATACACAATATATATATATATATAATACAAAAATTCAGACGTAATTGTCTTTCGGGTTAATATTTTTTTTGCAAAACAATTTTTCAATTAACTTACTTTTGGGCCTCGTCCAACTTGCAACAAATGTATTGAAGTATCGGTAACGCCTCATTGAAGCAAGACACTCCTCTCTCACGAACGTTTTTGTTTCGCTTTGCGTTCTCATCCATTTCTTGGCACTCCTCATCTGTAATTGTGCTCAATTTCATTATTACTCTTCGAAAAAAAACAAAAAGAAAACAAAAAGAAAACAAAAAAAAAGAAAAAAAATGAATAATTTTTATAGACTTTCACCAAAGGGGGAAAAAGGGGAGGGGGAATAAGATTATTTTCTACTAAATAAAAGTATTTTCATAAAAGTATTTCTTTATTAAAGAAAAAATGTTGAATTTTAAGAATTATCGATTTTTCGAAAAATTCAAAAAAGTATTTTTTTACCAAATAGTGGAACAAAAAAATTCGGTAAAGTGTTTTTGAAGAGCCCGAAAATAATTAAACCAAATCCCACGAAAATTAAGAAAAAATGTTGAATTTTAAGAATTTCCATTTTTCGAAAATTTTAAAAAAATAATTTTTTTTTCAAAGAGTGGAACAAAAAAATTGGGTAAAATATTTTTGAAGAGCCCAAAAACAATAAAACTAAATCCCACAAAAAAGTAGAAAAAATGATAAATTTTAAGAATAATCGATTTTTCGAAAATTTCAAAATAGTATTTTTTTATCAAAGAGTGAAATTAAAGAAACGGATAAAGTATTTTTTAAGAGCACAAAAATAATAAAACCAAATCCCACAAATAAGAAGAAGAAATGATGAATTTTAAGAATTATCGATTTTTCGAAAATTTCAAAAAAGTATTTTTTTCAACAAAAAGTGGAACAAAAAAATTGGGTAAAGTATTTTTGAAGAGCCCAAAAATAATTAAACCAAATCCTTCTAAAAAGAAGAAAAAATGTTGAATTTTAAGAATTATCGATTTTTTGAAAATTTCAAAAAGTATTTTTCTTATCAAAGAGTGGAGCAAAAAAATTGGGTAAAGTATTTTTGAAGAGCTCAAAAATAATTAAGCCAAATCCTACTAAAAAGAAGTAAAAATGTTGAATTTTAAGATTTATCGATTTTTCAAAAATTTCAAAAAAGAATTTTTTTCATCACGAGTGGAACAAAAAAATTCGGTAAAGTGTTTTTGAAGAGCCCAAAAATAATAAAACTAAATCCCACAAATAAGAAGAAAAAATGATGAATTTTAAGAATTATCGATTTTTCGAAAATTTCAAAAAAGTATTTTTTTCAACAAAAAGTGGAACAAAAAAATTAGGTAAAATATTTTTGAAGAGCCCAAAAATAATAAAACTAAATCCCACAAATAAGAAGAAAAAATGATGAATTTCAAGAATTATCGATTTTTCGAAAATTTCAAAAAGTATTTTTCTTATCAAAGAGTGGAGCAAAAAAATTGGGTAAAGTATTTTTGAAGAGCTCAAAAATAATTAAGCCAAATCCTACTAAAAAGAAGTAAAAATGTTGAATTTTAAGAATTATCGATTTTTCAAAAATTTCAAAAAGTATTTTTCTTATCAAAGAGTGGAACAAAAAAATTGGGGAAAGTGTTTTTGAAGAGCCCAAAAAAATTAACTCAAATCCCTTATGAGAAAAATAAAAATGTTAAATTTTAAGAATTTTCGTTTTTTATTACATTACATATGATAAATGCCAGTCTTATGCCTGAGTTTTTGTAAAATTCTTATTATTAATTATAATTTATGTAATTTAATTTGATTTGTTCCTTGAATACAAAAAGCAGGAAGTGAAATATTTTGACAAGTTGAAATTTTAAAGGGGAAGTGGAGAGAAAAAGAGAAGAAAAAACCTTTCAATAAAAAAATAAAATCACGATGATCATTCACACCTTCCTTTCTGGTGTGTAAAATGGACTTCTTACCCAAAAAAAGACAAAAAGAACGCAACGTCTGACTGGTTGCTGCCTGAGCTGCAGTTCTCACGGCTTGATTTCCATTTTCAAAGGCTTCGCAGCATGTCGTTAATATGGCAATGATCAATCTGCCATTCATCGTCCAGTATTGAGAGCAGGCAACTTGGAGTAAAACCTAAAAAGTTAAAAATAATAATAATTAATAATTAATAATTAAAAATAATAATAAAATAATACTTACAATTTTATTTGCAAAAACTACAAATCATAATAATAATAAAATTCTATTGAAATAATAATATTCAATAAAATAAATTTTTATAAATTAAAAATGGTTATTTTTCGTTTTATTTTACAAGTTGAAAAATATAATTCTTCATTTTATCTTTAATTGAAAATATTTAATTTGTAATTATAAAAAGTAAATTATAATACTTAATTCAAAGTTTATTTTCGAAATTAAAAATTTTCATATTCTTTAAAAAACCTTTATTTTCTCAGTTTTATTTTCGACTTTTAATTTTTAGTTCGAATATATTAATTTTTAATTGAGCATAATTTAATTTATTCTTTATTCTATTAATTTTGAAGCGGAAAAATAATTTTCTGTAATATTTTATTTGTTCTTTAATATAAATTTGAAAAGACTGGGATTTACCATTTATCGAGAGGAAACATTTGAAATATTTAATATTTTTTTTTTTTATTGTGAAAAGAAAAATTATAATGATTACACTCAATTATCACAGTATACAATGATATCGAATTGTTTGATCAGGTGAAGGTTAAAAAATTCTTTGCTGACGATCTAACTTATGATTTTCTTCGAATCACTCTCTCGTATCTTTTTAAAACTGGATCAAAAAAACATTATTTTTAAAGCATTGTACATATTAATAAGAATTTAAAAAAATTTTTATGAAAAATTTAGTGAATTTTTATAGTTAATGAAAAATTTTTTCCAGTTTTTTATATTTTACATTTCTTTTTAATGGCTTTTTTTAGTGAAATACTAGTAATTATGAAAAAGCTGTTAATTTTATTAATTTATTTTTGCATTTCTGTTACAAGTGTTTTCACATTGGAAGAAATAAGTAAGTAAACAAATTATTTTCTAAATTTATTATTTTATAATTTTAATTGGTTTTTTTCAGACTTTTTCAATTTTTTTCAATAATTTAAAATTTTTCAGATTGTACGATACAAAATAATTTTCTCGTAAATATTAGAAATAATCATAAAGCCAACATATTTGATGGGAAATTGAGCATTCAATTTACGAGAGAAAAATTCAAAGTCTATACGTATAAAAATACGGAAGACGTTAATTTTTTGATAAATGAAACGTATGTAAATTTTCAGGGTAAGTTACCTAAAGTGGAAGTGAATAATAAATTTTATTTTAATTGAAAATTTCATTTTGGTGAAAAAAAGTTAAATTTTAAATTTATAAAAATAAAATTTTTTAGTTAATTTGTCTCAAAAACTAAATTTTACAGTACAATCAAAATTAATCAATTTGATTGAAATTAAATTATTTTTTATTGAATTAAATTTAAGTTAAATTCAAAAAATCCCATTTAATTTAATTATACTTTCATTCAACTTTAATTTAATTAAACTTTAACTTCATTTAAATTAAATTTATTTTAATTTAAAAAATTCAATTTAAAAATTTTAATTTAATTCCTAAAGAAACTAAATTTAAATAAAAAATAATTTTTTAAATTTCAAATATTTCAGGACGAATGCTAATAGATAATTTATATGACAAAATTAAACCAATAAATCAAATTTTTCACACGCGAATCTTGGGAGTTTCTGTCTTACAGGTAGAAAAGATAAAAACACTATTTATCTTTTTCGAAAAATAATTATCTAAAATCTAAAATAATAATTGAAGATTAAAAATATTTTTATATTGTAATTTAATACCCTATGGAATTAACTTATTAAAATTAATTTAGTTCTATAAATTGAAAAAAATATAACTATTTTTTTCTCCTAAAGGATATTTCTTGTTATGACACTATTCTCACACAGTGTCAAATACTTTTACCGAGGAATAAAACCGATAGGTAATTATTATTTTATTAAAAAAAAGTTTTCCAATTAAAAAACATTTTCAAATTAATTAAAAATTCTCTAGTCCCAAATTTCCCTTTGAAGTGGAAAATGAAATTCTTCACTTGGCAGCGAGTTGTTTAAATATTGAGTTAACGGAAAAAATTGGAAGCCTGTTGCCAAAGGATTTTTCAAAATCAACTGATTTTTATAATTTTGGACCCCTTTCTGTTGATTTAAATCATGAGAATGGAAATTCATGCTCTAGTCATTCAATAACTGAGGAGAAAAAGAAATTGAATTCAATGCAGGTATTTAATTTTTCATTAAATTATTTTTTTTTCAATTAAAATTTTTAATTTTATTTTTGAATTTTATTTTTGAATTTTATTTTTGAATTTCATTTTTTAATTTCAATTTCTAAATTTTTACCTACATGATTTCTGACTAATTTTATTCTTTTTATATAACAAGTTGGCGCTGAATACAATTGTGGATGTTGTAGTTATAGAAGTGAAAACGTTTCTAAAAAAAAGAAAAATGGAGATAATAAAAATTCCAGACGTTTTTGAACCGTATCATGTATTCACCGACACATTTATTCAAATGGCAGGTTATTTTCAAGCTACAAATGGCACTTTCGAGTAAGAAGATTTTTCTATTAAAATCAAATATTTTCATTTTAAATTGTGTCAAAAATTTTCACTTCAATGTTTCAATTTTTTTTTCCCCCATCATTTTTGTTAGAGATTTTTCAACAGTAAAAAGAACAAGTGAAGTTGTCATTGATCAAAGAAATCAAAAGCTTTCAATTTCATTTGGCTTCGGACTCGACAGAGCAAAAATTCATTTTGGTTACTATAAGGTAAGAAAAAAATAACTACAAATAAAAAGAAAAAAAGCTAATCAAATAATTTTTTTAACTAATTAAAAATTAAATTAAAGTCTATAATTTAAAATTAATTTTTTAATAATTCAATTAAAATTAAATTCAATTAATTAAAATTAAATTAAAGTAGAACAAAATTTACTAATTTTTAATTTCCGGTTTCTCTTTCAGGCAAAATACGGTGTTTTATCAATGAGCGGAAATATATCGGCATCAGTTAAAACTATTGATGCTGATGTCAAATTGTCAATGGATTTCGATAAAGAGCCATGCATAACAAGTTTGGATGATTTTCGCTTTTCGCATTTCGATGATTTGCTAATTAGTATTTCCGGTAATGTAATACTTAGTCCCTTAGCGTCAAAGATAGTGACGTCAGTTATCAATAAATGGAGAACAGAGATTGCTGAGTTTATTGAAACAGTAATTGGTCAACTTGTAACGTCTGAACTTGATCAATTCAATTGTGAAACTTACAGATCTGCTCTGAATCCAGAATGTTAGTTTCTAATAAAATATTTACGTATTTTAATTATATGGAAATTTTTTTTTTCTTTTCTTCAATATTTTTGCAGTTAAATGTTACCATTATAATTAATATTTATAATAAAAAATAAAAAAATAATAATATTAAATTGTTATTATTTACATTATTAAGAGACATAATTGCGTAAAAAATAAATGTTATCAGAGATAAGAATAATTCAGAAAACAAAAACATTTTGTAAACAACAAACAAAATTTTTTAATTCTACTTTTATTAATTAATAATTAACTTATATTAATAATAATGATTATTTGTAAAAGTATTAAAAATTAAAAAAATTAAAATTTTTAAGTAGTAAAAGTCGATATACTATCAGACATTATTATTCGCATTCTTTTATTTAGACAGTTCGAATATTTTGAAAATTACAATACTCTGAGTTCAAGATATATTATTTCAATTAATAAAAAATATTTAAAAAATATTAAAAATTTAAAATTGTAAGTAGTAACAGTCAGTGTACTGTCTGACCTTATTATTCAAATTTTTGGATTAAGAGAATTTTGCCAAAGTATTTTGAAAATTTTCCAAAGTAGACTCGACTTTATTTCAATTAATAAAAAGTATTAAAAATTAAAAAAAAATTTAAATTGTAAGTAGTAAAAGTCAATGTACTGTCAGACATTATTATTCGAATTCTTATATTGATACAGTACTTTCAAAGTATTTTCAAAATTACCAAAGTGGACTCGACGTTCAAAATATTATTTCAATTAAAAAAAAGTATTAAAAGAGTATTAAAAATTTAAAATTGTAAGTAGTAAAAGTCAATGTACTGTCAGACGTTATTGTTTACATTTTTTGATTCAGACATTTCTTTCAAACTATTTTGAAAATTGCAAAAGTGGACTCGACGTTATTTCAATTAATAAAAAGTATGAAAAAATAAAAAAATTATAAATTGTAAGTAGTAAAAGTCAATGTGGTGTCAGACCATTATTATTCGCATTCTTGTATTGATTCAGTACTTTCAAAGTATTTTCAAAATTACCAAAGTGGACTTGATATTATTTGAATTAATAAAAAGTATTAAAAAAGTATTAAAAATTTAAAATTGTAAGTAGTAAAAGTCAATGCACTGTCAGACATTATTTTTACATTTTTGGATTCAGACATTTCTTTCAAACTATTTTAAAAATTGCAAAAGTGGACTCGACGTTATTTCTATTAATAAAAAATATTAAAAAAGTATTGAAAATTTTAAAGTTGTAAGTAGTAGAAGTCAACGTACTGTCAGACATTAATATTAACATTTTTTGCTTTTTGTGCATTTTAGTACATTAAAAAATAGAAATATGTACTTGATGTTTAAAATATTATTATTTATAGGTAAGTATGTATGAAACTATAAATATGTTAATAAAAATATTATATATTTAATAAAAAAATATTAAATTAAGTGACAAAACATACTTTAAGCATATCAGTTTGAGTATCATCAGATTGTGACAAAATTGATCCCATTGCATGTAACATTTGTGCAGGTAGCCACAAAGAATCATCTTCCGGTTCATATGGCGATTGAAATCTGTCATCTCTTAACATTTTCTGAAATTAGGTATAAATTTTATTTTATAATCAGAATTTTATTCATAATTTTAATTTTGATTTTAATTTCAATTATAATCGTAATATTAAAATTATTTTTTCATTCTTTTCTTCTCCTGAATTTGGAAAATTAAAAAAGAAATATCTTTAGAGAAAAAATTTCTATTGTTTATTGTTGAGAGTAATTTTAATTTATAAATTATGAATTGCAAAATATCGCAATCTAATTATTTATCGTACAATTCCTCAAACATAAAAATTTACTTATCAAATTCGGAAGTGAATTTCCTCAATATAGCCTCTAATACTGTATTTCTGAGGGAAAATTTTCGTTTCTAAACTATTTTCATAAATATTCATAAAAGAAGAAAATTTCAATTTTACTTCAATTTTTTTTTTACTTTTAAAATTTTTCCAAAAAAGTTTATAACTACGAAAAGATATTAATAACCAAAAAATTCTATTACTGTAAAATAAATAAATAATTTAATTTTAAATAATTTACTGCCATTGTAAAATGTATATTTGGAAAATAAACAAAGATTACAAGAATAAAAATATTAATAATATAATAAGAATAATTAATAATAATTAATAGTCAAAAAATAATTAATACTATAATGAAAAGAAATAAACAAAATATAATAAAAAAAAGAAAAAGAGAAATAAAGAAAATAAAATTAATAAGAAATAAACAAAATAGAAGCAAAGAGAAAATAAATAAAAAATAAAAATTCTTCAACTTTGAAGGACCAAATAAATGAAATTATTTACATACGTGTAAACCGGAAAGTCCAAAAGCAACAAATTTGCTTCGTTTTGTTTCCAGTGCCAATTGAATTGCACGCAAACATTTTGCCCGCAATTCATGCGGGGGATCCCTCAACAGTCCCTGCTGTTTGTCCATAAATTCTTCACAGAAAAAAATAAAAATTTTACATAAAATGATTATTTTTCCCTCACCCCCAAAGAATACAAAACACAATAAAAAAAAAAAAAGATTTTTCCAAAAAAAATTAAATTTTCACTTACCAGACGCTTCTTGCGCCGCTTTTCGTAAATTTTGTAATTTTGCATTTTGAGCTTCCCTTACAATTTGCAGTAAGAGATCCTCCATGACACGACCGACTGCCACGCGACTAATCGATAGTAGCGGGTGTTTCCTACTCATGTACGTAAGTAAGAATTTTTCTTCTATGCGCTCAATGTGGAATAGTATCAAACTTAGTTACTAAAAAATCGATGTTTCGTGACACTTTATGCCCGCAACTTTATACACTTTTATACTCCTTTTGGTATTCTTCGTTCAATCTAATTTTCCCTTTTTTATAAAAAAAAAATAATTTAAAAAAATTAATTAAAAAATTAAATAAAAAAATTAATTTAATTTATTTTAATTACTTTACTTTTCATTAGTTTTAAAATAAATTTACGATATTTCTTCAATAAAGCCTTAGGAAAAATAAAAAAAAAGAAATTTTATTCCTTATTTATTTTAGGAAAAATTAAAAAAAAAGTTTAAATAACTTTAATAAATAAACTACGATAAATAAACAACTAAAAATACAAAAATACTAAATATACGAAACGAGTTTTGAATCCACTGAAGAGTGAAGAAATCCAGCTTGCCGACCGACTCCTAACAAGCTACTTTCATTCTTCCCCGAAAGATAGCAGTAGAATGAAGTTTTTTCGATTTTATTTAAAACCATTTATTTCCATATATAGTTTCATTAAAAAATAATTTTTATTCTCCTGTCAAAAAAGGAATAAAAGTAAAAAATACAATAGTGAAGAAATAAAATAATTTTCAACCATTTTTCAACAAATTCAAAAATGAAATAAGAAAAAAACAAAAGCATTCGAGAAATAATAACGCAAGCGCTCTGAAGAATATATTCTGAAAATAATGATGATATTTCCAAATGAGAAACACTGCGGAACAGAAATAAGTTGAAAGACAGCAGTTATGTTCAACAAATTTTCGAATAAAAGAATAAACAGTGTTTATTTAATTGTCTCGCATGACTTCGAAGGAAGAAAAAATTAAAAATGCAATTTTGTCGAAAGATAAAAAAATTGAGAATGGAGAAAAGAGGACAGATACAATTTATTATCGATTGGCGGTGACACTTCTTGGTGTGTAGTGAATTTTTATTATAAATACAAATTTTTTTTTTGGTCAAATTTTGAAGTGTTTAAAATTTTTTACTTGGAACAATTTTTGTATATTTTTTTCTTCTAATATTATTGTAATTTTTTGATATTTTTTTCATTTAACAGCAATTGGTTTTGGATTTCTTCATGGTTGGCACGTATCAACGCTTTTTGAAAATGATCGACATTTTTCACACCTCTCGGATATTGAGAGAGAAATGTCATTTAGAACGGAAATGGTAATTAATTATTGTTTTAAATTTATTCAACATTTCTCTAAAATTGTCAATTGATGTCAAATTTACGAATTTTCGGTTTTAAGTTACCTTCTACTTCACTATAACATAACCTTAAAGTATATGCATCTCTGAGAAAAAAATATTTAAAATTTGGTTTTAAAAAATTTTTATTCTTTTACTAGCAATTTTATAAATTATAAAATTAATTATATATTAAAAATTAATTATAATTAATTGTAATTAATTATATAGCTTCACTCTTCATCGTATTTCATTTATAAAAATTATTTCATTCAAATAATATTTATATTTGATAATAAATAAACAATCGGTTATTTGAATCAAATAAATTTTTTCCAGTGTACTTTTATTTTAAAATTAATTTTCTATTTATTTTGAATTTTACATTTTTTGAATTTTTGTATAAATATAGCTATAATAATAATGTAACTTCACTCTTCAATGTTTCTATTATAAAAAAAAATTTAAATAAATATTCTTCTTCTCAAAAATACTGAAAAAAGATTTGGTTCAAATAATCAATTAGTTGACAATTAAATATTTAATTGAATCAAATAAATATTATTTTAGTGAAAGAATTTTTATTATAGTCAAATAAATTGTACTTGAACCAATAATTCCATTCTTTGAAGGAAATACCGTTTAATTGACTCTAATAAAAATTCTTTCACTGAAATAATATTTTTCTGATAATAGACAAATAATTTGTTATTTGAATCAAATACATTTTTTTCAGTGTATTATTTATTTTTAAATTAATTTTCTAAAGATTACAGGACAAAAAATCCAATTCAATAAATCCAGACCGGAAAGTCCAAGAAAAAAAGTCCAAAGTACAAAAAATCCAAAATAAAAATGTCCAAAGTCAAAAAATCAAAAATAAATGATGAAACATAAGAAAAAGCCACATTTTTACTTTTACGCTATAAAATTGGAATTATTTTCAATATTTTTGATAAAATTTTTTACAAAAATTCAATTATTTTCATAAATAAAAAAATTTCTCGAAGAATTTCAATTATTCTATAAAATTTTTAAAACAATTATTCCAAGAAATACAATTATTTTTAACCATTTTGATGAAATTCTTTACAAAAATTCAATTATTTTTAAAAATAAAAAAATTCTTCAGAAAATTTCAATTATATTCATAAATAAAAAAATTTCTCGAAGAATTTCAAATATTCTATAAAATTTTTAAAACAATTATTCCAAGAAATACAATAATTTTCAAAAATAAAAAAATTCTTTACAAAAATTCAATTATTTTCAAAAATAAAAAAATTTTTCACAAAATTTTAATTATTTTCATAAATAAAAAAATTTCTATAAGAATTTCAATTATTTTATAAAATGTTTTTAAAAAAGGAGAATTTCATTGAAGACAACCATTTGAATTTTTATATTTCAATTTTTTTCATTGGATTTTGAATTTCTTTTTACTTTTTGACCAAGACAAAAAATCCTAAAAAATAAATCCAAAGTGAAACTATTTTTTTGTTTACTTTTTTGGATTTTATTTACTTTGGATTTTTTTGTTTGGACTTTTTGTTTTGAATCTAATATTTTGGATTTCACGTAGTTTTTGAATAGAAAAGGAAAAAAATTTTCATTTCCTATTTATTTATTTTGTAGGAAAATTTTTAAACTAATCTTTTTTAAACAAATAAATATTCTTCCTTTCAAGTACTTCTTATTTTGAATTTAATTTTCTATGAAATTTTGGAATATTAAATTTCATGATTTTTAATTTTTCCAAACAATTTTGAAATAATTCTGTAAATAATTTTTAGGGAATGTATTACTCGTACTATAAAATAATTGCAGAGGCCAATAATATTAGTTCAGGTATCGAAAAACTTTTATCTGACAATATATCCGAATATCCAAATGTTATAGACGCCACAATGAAATATAGTCTTTTACCAGAGGTTCGTTTTCTCATTTATTTTGTTTATTTATCAATAAAAATGATCTTTTACAAAAATTTATCTTATTCATAAAATTTGTGTTTGATTTTAAATAAAATAATATTTCCAGGTCACTGCAGGTTCTCTTTATCACATTGGCAAAGATTTTGGTCTTCTAACGAAAAAACAATGCTGGCAGGTAAAAACCTTATTTATTTATTTTTATAAATGTTTATAATTTTAATAATTTACTACTTTTTAAAAATATTAATTATTTTTCACTTATATTTTACTTATTTTTTAAATATTTTTTATTTATCTGTTTATTTATTATTATGTACTGTTATAGGCCTTAAGATTATTTATTTACCTTCTAATTTAAAAAAAAGTGTTTATCAAACTAATATTAAATATTTTTTATTATTTATAAGTAAAATATGATTCCTTTTTTTAATAAATTAATTTGAGAATTGTCAGATTTTTAATCAAAAGATGGTAAATTTATTTCTGCTGATGATTTTAAGCCACCAAAACAAAATTAGAAATACTAAAATATTCATTTTTATTGTTTAAATAATTTAATTTTTTATTAATATTATTACATTAAATTATTATATAATTATTATTAATATTATTAATAATAAAGATCTTAAACTTTTTTGTTTGGCCTAATGGCTTAAGCCATTAGGCAAAACAAAAAAATTTAAGATCTTTATTATTTAAATTATATGGCTTTCTACAAAAATTTATTTCAACATTAATAATATTTTAAATTAAATATGTACATTTAGGGTAAATGCACTAGTAGTCGGACACTTAAGGATACGATCTTATATTATGCTTTTTTTCTTGAAATAACAAATATCTACTGTGTTTATAAGCACATTATCAATTAAAGGAGTTCTTCAGGATTAAGAATCATGTAAATTTGTTACAAATACTTGAGTATTTAATAAAATATAAACATTTTAATGAAAAATTACGAATGCTTTAGTAGTCGGACACTTTTTTCCCTTGTTTCTATAGTCGGACATCTGTCAGATATTTTGGATTTATAAAGTAAAACAGATAATTTGTTAATTGCTATCTGCTGGAAAATGGAATTAAAGCAAATTAGAAGTTATTAATATAATATTTAAACCCTATAAGTTTTAATATTTATGATAAATTATCAACAAAAATTTGTGCTACTCATTGCGCTACTCGAAAATGGTTGTATCTATAGTCGGACACCATGATTTTTAAAACATTAAATAAAATATTTCTTGTTTAATTATTTTCGAAAATAACACTAATTTCATAAAATATAAACTTTACACATTCGTCCAGTATATTTTTTAAAGTAATTATCACAATGCATTATTATTTATTTGCCAAAAAACACGAAAGTGTCCGACTACTAGTACTGTCCGACTATACCCGCACTTACCCTATATACATAAATTTAAAAAATATTAATTATTAGGTATTAATTTTTTTATTAATTTAATTAATTAATTTTTATTAATAAATAAATTTATTGTTAAGAATTTTAGACAATAATTTTTTTTCTCATAGATCGAGAGGGGAGATGAACTCCCGCCAGTTTTAAGTTGCGAAGGTATGGAAGTACCGATTTATTTTTACCTCGAGATCGTTTGGTTTCATGCAACATTCACTGGATCAATTATATTTCTCTACGCGACATATTTAAGTGGTTCCGTTTATGGTGGACTTTTGGCGATATTCTCATTTTTCTACAATCACAATGAATGCACAAGAATACAATGGACACCGCCATTGAGAGAGAGTTTCGCCTATCCGGCTCTACTCTATCAAATGTACAGAATAACTGAATTTATACGAGGGCATCGACACATAAAATCAAAAACCCACAAGTTCTACACCTACGTGGTGAGTATTAAAAAAAAAAAAATTACGTTCCCTTTTGTATCACTAAAAAAATTACTAAAAATGTTTCTGAATGAGAAAAGAATGGAAAAAGTTTCTGAATATGGGCGGAGCGTAGAGTCGGAGTGGGGGAAGTGAGAGAGAGCGAAGGCGTCTTCTCACTTACCCTCATTTCTCCCGCGCCGAGTGGGGGGGACGTTTCTAAGAATAGGCGGAGCGTAGAGTCAGAGTGGGGGTAGTGAGAGAGCGCGAGGCATCGACTTTCTCACTTGCTCTCATTTCTCCCACTCCGACTCTACTCTCCGGCTCTTTTCCACAACATAAAAAGGCGTTAAAATTCACTCTAAACCTTGGCAATTAAATTTTAAAAAAGCACTAATTTATTTAATTTACTTAATTTATTTAATTTAATTTATTTTATTTATTTATTTAGTTTTACAGTTATTTATTAATTTACTGTTTGGGAAAAAATGTTCAAATCAAATTTTTTATTTCAGGACATATTTCTGGCAATGATGTACAGTTTCTACAGTTGGCAATTCTCACAGTTTGTCTTCTTAACGCAAATAATTGTCATTCTCTTTCTCAAGTGGATAAAAATAATTCCCCGCGATTTATCGAGGAAAATTTGTCTAATTCATGGCCTGTCGGCGCTAACAATAATAATGGATTCGGAAAATACTCTACTGTCACAATCATTGTATTGGTGCCTTTTATTCAGTCACATTTATTGTGAATTTATCAGTGAAAAATTACAGCGTTTCTTCAGTTTAAAATCAATAACGTGGATTGAAATATTCTCCACAATAATTGCGACAGTATTGACGAAAATATTTATCATTAAATCAGAAGATGACAATCATATTTTCCAACTGCTCATGTCGAAATTAACGAAATATAAAGATTTTCATACAATGCTGTATACATGTGCTCCGGAATTTGATTTTTTACAGTATGAAACATTCAAGACGATTACAGTGACATTTTTATTGCCAACAGTTATTATTGCTGGATTAATAACATTGTACTATTGGTATAGAAATTTTAAGAAGGAAAATTATCCTAATTGTATTGAACCTGAAATTGCTTATAGTGCATTGCAATGTGGGGCTTTTATTTTAATGGCTGTATTTATTATGAGATTGAAATTATTCATGACACCGCATTTGTGCATTATTTCTGGATTGGTGATTGGAAAGCGTTATCTTGCAAAATTTGGTCTTAAAAGTGAAACTTCGCGAGCTGCATTGGTGGCTTTAATTTTGGCATTGATGACTTTCAATGGAATGCAGAGACTTCAGGAAGAAAGAAATCACGTTGGTATGCTTTAATGATTTCTTTAACTTATATTTCATTAATTAATTTATTATTATTACTAGGAAATGTTACGAAACGTGATATTCAATTTAATATTATTATACGCAAATTACAAAAATTTGTATTTTAAAATATGAATTTTTGAATGACTTCAGATTTAAACTTTAAGAAAATTTAATTATTAACTAATTTACTAATTAATTATTCTTTTTGATTAATTTCTAAAATTTTAATAAAATTCTTTAAAGGAATTTAACTATTTTCATAAATAATAACATTAATCGTAAGAATTCAATTATTTTTATTAATAGTAAAATTTTTTGGAAAAATTCAATTATTTTAAACAAAATTTTAATAAAATTGCATGGAAGAATGCAATTATTTTTAAAAAATTTGATGAGTCCTTCGAAACGGTTCGATTATTATTATTTTCAAGAAAATTTCGCGAAAGAATTCAAATTTTTTCTTAATTCGTTATAAAATATTTCAAAATAATTCAATTATTTTTAAAAATTTTAATAAATCCTTCGAAACAATTCAATTATTATTTAAATAGTAAAATCTTTGCAAAAATTCAATTACTTTTAAAATAATTTCACAAAAGAATTCAATTTTTTTCTTAATTCGTTATAAAATATTTCTAAAGAATTAAATTTTAAAAAAAAATTTAATAATATTTCTCGAAAAAATTCAATTATTTTATAAAGTTTTAATAAAATTTCATGAAAGAATTGAATTTTTATTTAATTTTTAATAATATTTTTCGAAAAAAAATTTATCTTCTAAAATTTTAATAAATCCTTCGAATAATTCAATTATTATTTATAAATTGTAAAATTCTTATCAAAAATTAAACTATATTTAAAACAATTTTGCAAAAGAATTCAATTTTAAAAAATTTTTTAATATTTTTCGAAAAAAATCAATTATTTTATAAAATTTTAATAAATTCTTCAAAACAATTTAATTTTATTTATAAATAGTAAAGTTTCATTAAAAATATGCATCTTTGCAAAAATTCAATTATTTTGAAAAAAATTTCACAAAAGAATTCAATTTTTTTCTTAATTTGTGATAAAATATTTTAAAAGAATTCAATTATTTTCTAAAATTTTGATAAATCCTTTAAATAATTTTATTATATTATTTATTATTATTATTTTATTATTATTATTTTATTATTATTTATTATTATAAAATAATTAATAATAATTATAAATAAAATATAAATAATAAATAAATTATTAATAATAATTAATAATTAATAATAATAATAATTATTTATTATTATTTTCAAAGAAAATTCCACGAGAGAATTCAATTTTGTTCTTAATTCGTTAAAAAATTTTTAATGTTTAATTTCAATTTTTTTCAAAGGCGATTATTTTAAATACTTGAAAAAAAATCCTAAAATTCAATTCTTTAAAAAAAATTTCAATTAAAATTATTAAAAAAAAATCTATTATTTAAAAAAAATTTTAAGAAATTCTTTACAAAGAATTTAATTAGGATTTTCAAAAATTGTAACAAAATTTTTCGCAAGAATTCAATTATTTTCTTAAAAAATCAAACTTTTTGAAGGAATTCTATTATTATCAAATTTTTTGATAAATTTCTTTGCAACAATTCGATGATTTAAAATAATTTTTTATTTATTGATTTTATTGATTTTATTAATTGATTCTCTTTATGTATTTTAATTGCTTTCAGGTGAATACATGAATATAGAACAAGAAGAATTATTTGAATGGATAAAATTGAAAACACCGAAAAATGCTGTTTTTGCTGGTAAAATGTCGTTAATGGCAAATTTAATGTTGTCGACCGGAAGACCAATTGTGAATAATCCATATTACGAAAACAAAGAAATGAGGTTACATTTTTAATTTATAAAAATTGATTATATTAAATAAATTTTTCCAATTTACATTATTAATTGAAATAGATTGCAATTTTGAGTATCAAAATGCAAAAAATAAAATGAAAAATTATTTTTTTAGAGATAGAACGATGAAAGTCTATGAAATGTTCAGTCGAAAGGAACCTGTAGCAGTTTACGAAACTCTGAGAAAACTTCACGTGGATTATGTAGTTTTAGACGAAAATCTGTGTTTCGGCTTTGGCAATGTGTAAGTTTTTTTTATTTATCGTTTAATTTTATAAAAAGAATATAATTTACTTAATTCATTCACAAATATTCAATTTAAATAAATAAATTGCGAGCGCGCAATCAGTAAACGCTACGTTTAGAGAAGCGGCCCCCACTTCCGAAAATAGGAGTGGGGGGTCGCTTCTCCTAGTCTCGCGCTATGTAGTTATTTATACTTCTACTTTTGAGTCTTAAAATAATCTTTAATTTCTAATACAACATTTATAAATTCTCCAAGTTTAAATTGAAAAATAAATAATAATACCTAATAAAATAGAGAATTAAAAATAAAAAATAAATTAATATTTTTTTTTATATTCCACGTATTTTCAAAAAAAAATTTTACTTTTTTATTCTAAAATTAGAAAACCCGGCTGCAGAATGGTGGATTTAATGGACCTTCTGGACAATGGAAAGAATAAAAAATCAGGAAAACCACCGGTGTGTCCAATTCTCTATCGCGGTTACAATCATCTTTTCAGAAAAGTTTTTTCCAATCAAAATTACGTGGTCCTAAGTCTCGAATATTCCAAGTACGTAGAAATAAAACCGAAAAAAACAATTACTTATCAATTATAAAGAAAAAAGAATACTACTCAATGAAAAAAAAACAATATTTATTAACAGAAAGCACACAGAGAATAGTATTGTTAATTCATTAATATAAAACTTCAGCCATTCTCTTTACCAATATTTTCTTTATTATTAAAAAAAGAATATTAATTTCTCAAATTTTTAAAAATAACTTTAAAATTTTATCAAAAAAGCAGAAAAGTTATTAAATTTTCCACTTTTTTCCGAGGAAAAGATTGAGAACAGTTTTTCTAAAAACAAAACATACAATCAAAGAAACAAGCATGTACATTTTTTATATCTGGATAATAATTAAAAAATTAAAACAATTAAAAAAATGAAATGAAACATATCGAATTGAAAATTTAAAAAATTTCTTTCTTTAAATTAAAAATGAAAATTAAAAATTTTTGAGAGAAGAATATTTCTAAATAATGGTAAAAGAAAAAAAATAATATTGAAAAGAAGTTAAGAGATATTTTCCTGTTAAAGAAATTCAGTTGAACAAGACTGTTAAATATATTTTACTATGTAAAATAGAAATATATTCTAAATAATTTTTAAAACACTGTTTATTGGAAAAGGGACAATAAATAGATTTATTTTAGAATAAAGTGTGAAATTAAATTTTCATAAAACAAAAAAAGTATCTATATATATTAATATAGATTTTTGAGCGCAGCTTTAAATAAATGATGGATTTGATTAATAATAATTTTTTCGCGAGAATATAGAAAAAAGATATTGTAATAAAAAAAGGACAACAATTCTTTTGTCAAAGAAATACAATTAATAGATTTTTAAAAATCATTCAAAATCATTTAAAATCAATCATAAATGTATTTATCTATTAAAAATTACTATATTATAATAGTAAATTAGTTTAAAATGGATAAATTAGTTTATTTTTAAAATTTTAATGCATAAAGTCTTCTCTGTGCATGAGAGGAACGCGCAAGCGTGAAAGAAGGGGCAATGAGAGAGAAAGAGAAGAAGTAAAATTTCTCTCTTACTCTCATTGTCCCCACTTTTGCTCTTACGCCCCCCTCTTCTAAATTAGGCTCGGCGTAGCAACTACAGCGATGTAAATCTAGTAATGCAAAGAAATTTTGATTTTAAGACTCAACCAAATGCTTTTTAGGCGTTGTAATTAATTTATTGTGCTATAAAAAGGCGGAGCATTCAAAATTACGTTAATATTGAATATTGCAATATTTAACATTATTAATTATTATTATAATTACAATTTTATTCCTATTATTATTCTCGTTATTATCATTCTTCTTCTTGTTCGTCTTCTTCTGGATCTTTCTTCTTCTTCTTCTTCTTATTTTTATTATTTTTACTTCATATTTTTATTTATATTTTTTTATTACTATAATTTGATTTTATTTTATTTTTATTATTCTATTATTATTAATATTGTTCTTATTATGAACTATTATACTCAATAATGAAGACAACGAAATGTACGTCTATGTGTATTAGGAAAACAATTTTTCAACGCTACAACTATTTAAAAAATTTAAATTTTACGAAAAGTGCCATTTGGTGTCATTTGGTGTCTATAGAGATATTGTTTGACAAAATACCCTTAAATGTCTATAAATATCGAATTCTTAAAATAGGTTTAATTTTTAGTAGATTCTAATAAACAGAAAAGAGCATTTATAATTGTTATTAAATACAGATTTTCTTGAAAAAGTTTTTCAACTACATAGCTTCTAGTAATTTTACTCCGTCATTTTTCAAAAATTGTCTCAAATTCAGTATTAAATATTTTTTTTTTAATTAAAAAATTATGAATAAATAAATAAGAGAGAAACGGTTATTTTTCTCGTAATATAACAGAATCAGTGTATTGTTCGTATGTCCGTTTTTTACATTCTCGCATCACATTTATCAGAAGGTGGTAATTTTAAATTAATTTAAATATTCGCATGTGATTTTAATAAATTTAATATAATAATGCAATAAAAGTTCTATTATTACTGTAAAATAGTATAAAATACAGAAAGAGCAGCTTATTTAAGATAATATGTGATACTTTTTATTAAATATAAGTTAAATATGCCAAAAAAAAGAACAACAAATTGTAATAACTGTAATTGAAGGTTTCGAAAATATAAAAAAATTATCTTAAAGATTTTGTTAAATTTTTGTCACATATTTCGTCCTTTTTTGCTTAGATGAACCTGAATTTCAAATTATGTTCAAAAATATAAAAAAAATTCTCGTCAAAATTTCAATTATTCAATTATTTTTAATTATTTTCAATTATTTTTCAAAAGTAATAAAAATTCCACAAGAATTCAATTATTTGCTATTTTTTTTATAAATTTCTTCACAATAATTCAATATTATTTTCATAAATAATAAAATTCTTTTTAGGAATTCAATTTTTTTTAATACACATTTATTCAAATTTCTCGAAAAATGCAATTATTCTTCAAACCTTTTTTTAAATTCGTCGAAAGAATTCAATTATTTAAAAATTTATAGATAAAATTCTTTATATTACGAGAATTAAATTTTGAGAAAAATTCAATTATTCAATTCAATTCAAATTTTTGTTGAAAACACTAAAAAAGTCCAATTTTTGAAAAATTACAAATAATTCCAGAAATTCAATTATTTTCAAGAGTGATAAAATTCTTCTCATAAAATTCAATTATCTTCCAAATTTAAAAAAAAATCTCGTCAAAATCCCAATTATCTTTATAAATAAAAAAATTCTTTCCCAAAGTTCAATTATTTCCAAATCAATTTCAAATTCCCAAAAATAGTACGCAAACATTTAATTATTTTCATAAATTAATAAAAATTTCTCAGGAATTCAATTATTTACAAATTTTTTATAAATTCCATGGCAATAATTTAATTATTTTTATAAATAATAAAATTTTTTCAATTATTTTTAATAAAAAATAATTAAAAATTGGAGAAAATAATAATTTATTTAAAATGATGAAAATAATTTTGAAAAAGTTACTGTAATAATATTCTTATAATATAAAACAATGATTTTATCACTCGGACATTTTTAATTATTATAAAACATGAAGAAATCGATCACTTCGAGTCTTCGACTCGGAGCAATCGCTATCTTCATGTTTTATAAAAATATTCTTATAATTTATTGAAATTAAAAAGATTTGAATTTAAATGATTTGAAAAATTTTAATTCCTACGAAAAAATAATATTTAAATATTTATTTAAAAAAAAGTTATTGATGTTTTCGAATAATTTTACAATTAAAGAAATTCGTAAATAAAATTAACAAAGAACATTTTTTTGAGTAAAATTTTTTCCTTTATTTTCTAAAAATTTATAAAGTTTCAATTTCATTTTCAATTAAAATTTGTAATTGACAAATAGAATAGAATATGTAATGTTTCTTTTCCAAAAGAAAATGCATTTTTGAACAATATTATTATTGAGAAATATAAATTATGCATAAAATATTTCCTATTTCTTAATTATAATTTTTTATAAAAATCACCAATTTTCTATTTTTTATAAATAAAGGGGAGAAAAATTTGCATAATTTAGATCCGTCAAACGAAATTTGTTATAGAAAAAAGCATATAATAAACAAAATGAGTATATTTTTTATTTGTTAATCATATTTTTTTTATATTTTCTAATTTCAAATATTGTTTTATTATAAATCATGAAAAAATACCTGCATTTTTTCAATCTATCGAACAATATATATTTTTTAAAGAAAAACAAAAAAAAATTGATTTAGATTTAGTGAAGAATTTTAGTTAAAAATTCTAGATAATCCTGCCAATTATCGGCTGTGGTTACTTTTTATTAATTGTGAATTAAAATAATTTTGGTGAGTTAAAATTAATTAATTTTTCCTATTATCTGAAAATCAGGGAAAAACAAATTTAAATTTTTGTGGCAATCCTCTAGTTGCACTTATTTTCAATAAATAAAATAAAAATTAAGAAATAAATAAAATAAAAAAAATTAAATAAAATACAGAAATAAGCAAATTAAAGAAATACAGAAATAAGCAAAATAAAGAAATACAGAAAAAATAAATAAAAAAAAATAAATAAATACAGAAATAAAAAAAATTAAGAAATACAGAAATAAGGAAAATAAATGAAATAAAGAAAGAAACAAAATAAATTATATAAAGAAATAAACAAAATAAATGAAAGAAATAAATAAAAAAGGAAACATTGAAGAAAATAAAAACCAGAAAAGCACTTCAGAAAATTTAAAACCATATATCAGAAACAATGAAACCTAACGGAAGAAAGTGCGCTAATATTCTAAAAAGTAGAGTATAGTAATTTTTCATGTCAGAAAAGACAATTTTTATTACTCCACACACCAATCACGAGGAATTCGAATCTAAAAAGCAAAATGCCTAAAGAAGAAAAAAAAAATAGAAAAAAGTATAAAATTTCAAAGATTGTTTCTTTAACTTAAAAGTTTAAACCGAAACAGCGGTATCTTCACTTAAAGAGAGTCTTTATAGGCTTTTGAGAGGTATATATATATAAACAACAAAACCACCACACGATCACACTGTACCTTACAATATACAACCATCAGAGAATAGCTTGTTTATACTGTATATACGTAAAGGCACGCTGACCTAAATGAATCCTTTCCACTATATTTCCAAGCAAGTTACAAACAGTCAGTCCCAGTCCGGGCGGCAATATTGTCGGATCTGCGCGCACTCTTGTCCATCAAAATACAAGAAGAAGAAAAATAAAAAGGATCAAAAATAAAAGGCAAAATAATATATAGGTTTCCTGGTTAAAATTAACGGGGAGAAAGAGGAGAGAGAGAGACAGAGAGAGAGAGAAGGAGGAAAATCTCACCGGGTCCAGTTTGGATGCAGTGAGAGTAATATATAGTGACGAATAGAGATATTTTCACAGATGTTATTAATAATACGAGTTAGTAAAAGTGCAAAACCTCGCAGGCCATTGAACCTCAGTGAATGGGACCCATATTGCAAATAAAAGAACGGAATCGGTCTCAAAAAGAATTTTTTTTTTTCTTTTTTTTTCTTCGTTCTCATGTTCAAGTTATTATCATTGTTCTGTCAGCAATTACAATTTTATAATTCATTCACTAATTCATCTAGATCAGTGATTCGAGAACAAATGGATTCTTCGTGTCAACTTCTTCTTCTTGTTCTTCTTCTTCTTCTTCTACTTCCTTAATTTTTTATAAACAATATTATTACATCTTCTCTATTTTTTAAAATTTATTTTACCTCTGAATTTTTTTTATTTTGAAAATTTATTTTCTACCTCAATTTTTTATCTTAAAAAAATATTTTCTACGTATCAATTTTTCTATTTGAAAACATATTTTAATTAATTTTGTAAATTAATAAAAAAATTATTTTCTATCTCGATTTTTCTATTTGAAAACATATTTCAACTTTATTATTATAAATTTGCGGAGTGATAGCTTCAATTATTATTTATATTTCAATTAATTTTACAAATTAATAAAAAAATTATTTTCTATCTTAATTTTTCTATTTGAAAAAATATTTCAATTAATTTTATAAATTATTAAAAAAAATGTTTTCTATCTTAACTTTTCTATTTGAAAAAATATTTCTAGTAATTTTATTAATTAATAAAAAAATTATTTTCTATCTCAATTTTTCTATTTGAAAAAATATTTCTATTAATGTTATTAATTAATAAAAAATTTTTTTTCTATCTCAATCTTTCTATTTGAAGAAATATTTCAAATAATTTTATTAATTAATATTTATATTTGTAGGACATACAATTTACTAAAAAAAAATTCCTTTTTTTTAAATAAAGAAAATAAATGGAATCTGTATTCCTTTCGATTAATTTTTCCCTTTTAATTTAATTCTATTCTTTTTTAAATTCAAAATTTTTTAAATCCATTTTTTTACTGCTAAAAAGGAAAATCTTTTTGATCTTGTATTTCATGGAGAGAAAATTAATTTTTGATTTTATAAAAGTATTTTATAATTTAGGGTGAAAAAGCAACAAAGCGAAATTTTCATATAAAAATTCCAAACTTTAAAAAAAATCATGTGAAAATTAAAACAGTTTTTCCAAATATCAAAAATATTATCTAAATTTTAATAAAATTTTACTAAATTTCATTGTAATTTCTTTTCAAGTTTGTAGTATTTTTTACATCAAAATTTCGCTTTGTCTCATTTTGTCCCCGAATTTTAAAAAACTTTTACAAAATTAAAAATTTATTTTCCCTCCATGTAACATAGGATCAAAAAGTTTTGCTTTTTATCAAAAAAAAAGTAATTTTAGTTCTTAAAATTTTTTTAAATTTTAAATTGAAAAAGAATAGAATGAAATTGAAATGGAAAAATTAATAGAAGGAAATACTTTTACAAAATTTACCTTTCTTCAATTAACTAAAATTTGTCCACTAAAAATTTTTTCTAAATGGAAAATAACAATAATTCTCGAAATTGATCTCCAAATAACATTTTGCTCCATTTTACTTTTAATATCTGGAAAAATATTCCTTCTTAATTAGAACAAAAAATTATTCAAAATTGTTTTTTGTGTTTAAATATAAAGTTTTTATTCATATTCTCTCCTGTCTCTCTAATTTACACTGAGAAAAAAATTATTTGATTCAAATAGCCGATAATTTGCCAATTATCAAACAAATATTTACTTGAATCAATTAAATTTTTCTTCAGTGCACAAATATTCAACAAAAAATTGACAATTGAAAATTTGATAATTGAAAACATTGACAATTGGAAAAATTGTTAATTGAAAACATTGACAATTGAAAAAATTGTAAATTGAAAAAATTGACACCTGAAAAAATTGACAATTGAAAAAATTGTTAATGAAAAAAATTGACATTTGAAAAAATTGTTAATGAAAAAAATTTACATTTGAAAAAATTGACAATTGAAAAAATTGTTAATTGAAAAAATTGACATTTGAAAAAATGGACGATTGAAATAAATGAAAATGAAGAAATTGATAATTGGAAAAATTGTTAATTGAAAAAATTGACAATTGAAATAATTAACAACTGAAAAAATTGTCATACAGAAAAAATTGACTGAAATTTACTGAAATATACAGAAAGTGTTGAAAACGAATAATTATTAAAAATTAAAAATTAAAAAACTTAATCAACATTACTTAATTCCAAATGTTAATTAGTAAATTTTTAATTAAACTCTAGATATGGACATCTCTTCCTGTTTTCGCGGGAAACGGTACAAAATAAATGCGGGAAAGTGTTCTCTTCACTGTACTCTTTTATTGTCAGATGTGTGTTGTACATGCGTGTGAGTGTATAATATAGTAAAAAAAAAAAAAGAAATGAATACACGTGTGTGGTGAACCTGCGCATTGTCGCGCAGTGAAGAACGTGCCGCGGATGCAGCTGGAAGCTATTGGCATTCAAATAGAACTTCCACTGATTTTTCAAATAAATATATAAATACATAACAGTGGATTATTAAAAAAATTGAACCAAAAAAAAAAAATCAGGGCAAAATAAAAATAAAAAAATGGAAAGCAAAAAATAATAAAAAAAAGTGGTGAAATATATTTAAAAAAAAAGAAGAAAATAATGCAAAGGAACACTAAAGAAATTATTATCATTTCAATGAGAAGGAAGTTGAACGATGTTGTTAATTTTTGTGTAGAAAAAGTGAAGTAAAAAATTATTAAAAATCGATCAACTTTGAAAGAAATGCGGCTTCCGTGCTTAACAATTCTTCCTTGTGGATTTTAATTTCTAACAGTAAGTGAATTTATATTTTGATAAAATTTTCTCTAGTTCTCTTTTTTCTTCTTCTTGTTCTTTCTTCATCGTTGAATTTATTATTTTTATTAATATTATTATTTTTATTTTTTTTTAGAAAAATAATCTTTTTAAATATTTATTTAAAAAATAAGTACAAAAATCCGTTTTTAAAATTTTAGTATAATTATTATAATTTTTCTCAAAATTATTAACGAAAAAATTCTAATTGTAAATTTTATTCCACCTTTTTGATTGTATTTATTAATTTTTATGTTATCCCCTTTTTATTCATAACCTTTTCCTATTTTTCTTATTCTCATTAATATTTTTTTATTAATAATATTTTTGTTATTATTTTATAATTTTAGATCTTCCACTATTAATTATTTCAATTTCATTTAAAAAATTAGTTTTTTTCGTTAATAAAAAAAAATTCAATTTTCGTGAATTTTTCGAAAACAACATCTTTTAATTGGAGAAAAATAAGTTCCTAATGGCCGGGAGGTTCTTTTTTTTTGTCCCTATTATAAGCGATTATTACGTGACCCTCTAACAGCAGCAAATGCTCTTCTCCGAAATGGGAAGTGACTCCACATTAAATTTATGACTAAACGTTGCTTTTCTCGATTTTATAGTGTTTCACGCAGTTGTTCTAATTTCCTAGGGCCTTTAAATATTTTGTTTCAAAAATAACTTTTGTTTTTTCGAATTTGAAAAAAATGTCCCACCCATAAAGTTTCTTCATTATACAATATATTTATAAAGAAATGTAAAAATATACTTTTTATCTTTCTTTTTTTTTTGGTGAAAGTAAAAAAAAAATAACGGAGAAAAAATATTTTTAACTGTTTAAAAATGAAAATTACAGAAAAGAATCAGGTTTTTTTAATCAAATTAATTTTAATTCGGATTAAATTAGATATTTACTACTCTTTAAATTTGAATTAGTAAAGAAAGTTTACTAATTTTAATTAGTGACTAGTTTTGAGCTTTTGAATTTGTATATTTTACTAATAAATTAGTAGAAATTACTATTTATTTTACTAAAATTAGTAAAAATTAATATTTATTAGTAAAAGTTACTAATTCAAAAAAATTCAGTAAAAAAATTTACTTTAATTAGCGACTAACTTTTTACTTTTGAATTAGTAAATTTTACTAATAAATTAGTAGAAATTACTATTTATTTTACTTAAATTAGTAAAAATTAATATTTATTAGTAAAATTTACTAATTCAAAAGCAAAAATTCAGTCACTAATTAAAATTAGTAAACTTTTTTACTAAATTTTTTTCAATTAAAAATTTTACTAATAAATAATAATTTTTACTAATTTTAAGTTATTAGTAAAATTTACTAATTTCAAAATCAAAAAGTCAGTAACTAATTCAAATTAGTAAACATTTTTACTAATTCAAATTTAGAGAGTAAATAATTTTGAAAAGTTGGTCAAAAAATTAGTTCTAATTTATAATTATAAAAATTTTTAATAGAAAATTATACTTTTTAGTCATACTTTATAGTCAGCGATAGTTTATACTTATAAAAAATCAAAAGATAAACAAAGTGTATCAAAAGCAAGTTTCGCAAACGACTAAAAATCAGAATTGGTGCCAAAGCTCAACTGTTAAATCAAATAAATACGATTGGCGTCTTGTTCTCTCAATCAGGTTAAACTCCTGGTCTCAATATATATACATAATGATTAGGAGAGATTCAGGCCAAACCGAAATAAAAATATACGGCTTCATCAATATATTGGTTCACCTTATTTGCAAATTAGGAATTTAATTTTTTTTTTCATTTTTTTTTTTGGAACCCAAACAGATTTTAAATGAAATTTCTAATCTTCCGGGGTCAACGAACGGTTTCTCTCTTTTTCTCTCATTGAACGATTCGTAGTTTCTTTACAATTTTCATTTATTTTTTTTTTTCGGGAGAAATTTTTAGAAAAGTGAAAAAATGATTTTTTTATTATTTGTGATTCTGTGTGTAAAAATAAATCTTTCTTATCATAATATTACATCTGTTTCATAAATTTATAATATTTCAAAAATATATTTTCATACGAAGATATAAATCCTACTTGAGAAACATGAAATGCATTCCAAAGTAGTACTGATTATAATCATTTATATATGGAATTAGGTTTCTTGGAAAATATCCTTTTCAATTTAACATTAACTTTGACAAGAGAGTTTTGTTTTTATTTTTTATTATTTTTTAATAAATTATTATATAATAACAATTATAATTGTAAATATATTTAATTATTTGTAAATACTGAAGGAATTTATTATTCTATAAACATTTTTATGAACCTTAAACCTCTCGTCGATTATTTTTTATTTACCTTTATTATATTATTTAAACAAAATATGAAACTTATTACACTGTAAAAAAATTCTTTTTAATAAAATTTGATTCAAATGACCGATTATTATTAGTCTAATTGTCAAATATAAATATTTACTTGAATCAAACAATTTTTATTTGATTTTAAATTTTAATTTAATTTTCATAATTAAACAGTTGCTTCAAGTACTGAAATTATTGGTTCAAATATAATTTAATCGATTCAAATTAAAGTTATTTCATTCAAGTAAATAAAAAAAAATTTTTTTTGTTAAATAATTGATTTTTTTGAAATGTTTTTAAAGATACTATTTTAAAATAATTGAATTCTTTTGTGAAATTTCATGAAAATGCTAGATATTAAAAATAATTGAATTTCGAATATTTTTTAAAAATAATTGAATTTTCGAAAAGAATTTCATTGTAATTTTTGAGAATAATTTTTTTATTTCTAGTATTAGCGAATTTAAAGTAGTGAATATTCTCTTAAAAAAATTATTATTTATAATTCTTTATTCAAAAAGTACAAAGAATATTATAATAATTTTTTTACCTTCTCTATTCTTTAGAATAATTAAATTTTTCGTAATGAAGATTATTTTTAATTTGAAAATGAAAGTATCAAATAACAATTTTTGCGAAATTCAATTTTCCTCGTACACGAAAGTTTAATTATTTTTCGTTTACAAAATCTAATGTTAAATTCAAAATTATTATCAAAATTTGTTAAAGTTTTTTATTATATACTTTAAAGTATTAAAATAATATAAATTGAAAATTTAATTCTAATATTAGTTTTTCAGTTATGTGTCATAATAATTATTTCTTTAAAAATTACTTAAATTAAAATGATTTGAAATTTTGTTCCGTAAATAGTTTTTTGCCAAAAATACGAAACTTTCTTTTCATTCTCACAATCAGGGTGTGAGAGAGAAAAAAAGAGAGAAGAGAGAGAGAGAGAGAAAAGGAAAGACTGGGGAAGAAACATTTCCCTTAGAAAATTGATTAACTTGCAAATGTTTTACTTTCACTTTAATGACACCTATGCTTAATTAATTTCGAGTAGGAAAAATTCGCACATGTTTGAACAAAAGTGCATTGTCTCGCTTTTGGAACTGTGTGAAGTCACGACAAGGTAGAGGCCAAGAGTACTTTGCAAATATAAATGAGAAAGAAAGATTACACTCGTATAATGTGTGAAAGAAGAAAAGAGAAATCAACCGTGATCTTAATGATCTCAGGAGAAAAGAGAAAGAAAATGTAAAGGAAAAGAATGAGAGTAAATGAGATACACAGGGAGAGAGAGAGAGAGAGAGAGAGAGACCGGAAGAAAAATAGTATATAGGAGAGGCATAGAACGAGTTTCACATGACCGAGATACGCCATAGTTTTACCAGGACAATGATTATGACATGAGATCATTAGTTCGTCAGTAGCCAAACGGTAGCGGATCTCCAACCGCGTTAATTGGACAAAGGTCATATTAAACCATAAGTGTTACTTTTTATTCCAGAGTGCCATACACTCTATAATTACAAAATAATACCCACAATTCGTCACTCATTTGGTCAAATTAAAAAAAAAAGATATTTCTTTTACTGCGCCGACTAATTATCTTTTGAAACAATAGAAAAAAAGATATTTAGTCCCGCTGTGAATAAATATTTAAAATAATAAAAATTATATTCCATCTTATGTAGAAAGTATTTTTATTAATTTTTATTTATTGCTATTGTTACAATTGTATTTTTTCAATAAAAAGGAATTATTGTTGTTTTTTTATAATCATTGTTGTCCGAATGAGTCGTTTTTAATTAATAAATAAAATAAATTTTTTTAATAAATTTCTGTTATTATAATATTATATTTTATTATTAATAATTATTATTATAATAATAGAGTTGAGCTTTTTGTGTTTATTAATAATAATAGAAAAATTTTAACATCCGAGAATAATTTAATAAAAACGACACATTCGAACAACAATATTAATAAAAAAAAAAAACAATTCATTATTGTTGAAAAAAATATAATTATAATAATTTTTATTATTTTAAATATTTTTTCTATTGTTTTTTTCTATTTTTTCTATTCTATTACTATATGGTATTAATATTATTATTTGTTTAATTTTAATTTCCACAGTTCAGGGAAATTAAAATAATTTTACTTAAATATTTCAAAATTAATTGAATTTTAAAAGAGTTGTGTTTACAATATTCATAAATAGAATAAATCTTCAAAAGGTTTTAATTTGAAATCTTAGATTTCAAATTCAAATAGATTTATAGAAGAATTTTAGTTAAAAACACTAAAAAAAATTGAATTTTGGAAAAATTTTTAAATCATTGTAAAAATTCAATTTTCTTCAAAATTAATAAAATTCTTCGCAGAAATTCAATTACATTTGAAAATTTGAAAAAATTCTCTTTAAAATTTCAATTATCTTTATAAACAATCAAATTCCTCTCCAACATTTAATTATTTTCAAAAAATTTGAATAAAATTCTTGAAAGAAATTCAATTATTTTCATAAATTTTAATAAAATTCATGAAAAAATTCCAATTGTTTTCAAAAGTATTTCGAAAGTTCTCTTCAAAATTTCAATTATTTTTATAAATAATAAAAATCTTCTCCAAAA